GTTTTAGGGTTCAGGTTTTAAGGTTTAGGGTCTAGGGGTTTAGGGTTTAGGGGCTGCCCGTGCATGTCCTATGTAAATTGGCTTTCGCCCTTGCTCCCATACTGAGAGAATGGTGAGAATGTCATCACTCCGTGAGTGCTAAGTTTTCTCCTTGTGTGTAGCGCCCGGTGGTTGAAGATGCGATCTTGAGATCTGCCTTTCCCCGTGGCATGTTCGATCAACGACAGAAAGCATAGGTCGGTTTGGCTTGGCGATGTATGCATTGCGCTACACAGACGATCGACATACCAGCCGACAAGCAGTCTACATCAGCTCTGGCAGCTTCACCCGCAACCTAAAACCAAACCACAGATCCAGAAATTGGCGGAAACGAACATTTCCAGCTTCCGGCTGGCATGGAATCCCCAACTCACCCAACTCTCGACCGTTCTAAACCCAAAACCCTATAAACAGCTCCCAGCCCTGAAACCCCAAGAGGCCCAGAACCTAAACCCTAAAGCCTTAGGCTTGAGGAAACTCAAAAATCCGTGCAGAAACTCTCACCACCCAAACCCCTTCGCAAAAAAATCTGAATCCTAAACCACTGAAACACGAACCCCTCAGCTCAAACAGGCCCTGAAAGGAAGCCTTAAATGAGCCATCAAGCTAAGGGGCCCTCAAGAAACCCCAAATCAACATGCGCTTAGGGTTTAGGGTCAGAGTTTCGGGCCAGAACAATTACCTACGCTAATCCTGCAGTTCCCGAATATGTCTATGTTAGATCATACCTTAGACCTTATTCGATTTTTTCAGGCCCTTGTACTACTCCCGAAACGCGAGACTCTCAAACCCCCAACCCTTGAACCTCGGCGCCCTCTAGAACCTTGTAATTAAAGCCCACATGAGGCCATCCGAACAAGACCACGACATCTGTGCAAAAAAAGATAAGGCAAACACCGTTCAGGCAATGGGCAGTCCGTACAAGCCTGTCTGAAACCACGTGTACAGATCCTTCGTACAGAGGGAGAACACCTTAACTCCGCATTCAGTTCAGTTTACAAGCCGGCTATAAAATTCCCAAACCCTGGGTTTTGCTGAATGAGCCCTAATTAAGCCCTAGACCCTAAAACAAACCCTAAACCCTAAACCTTAAACCTTCAACCCGAGAAAACATCGAACGCCTGACGATGGGCTTCCCTGCCGATACCTTCGTAGCCGCCTTGCGCCATGGCGTCAAACTGCGGATCTTCGGCCCCAACGGTGGGAGCTCTGGCCGTGGGGGTCGTTTAATTAAGCCCTCAACCCTAAACCCTAAACCCTACTTAGTACTCTCAGGGTACCTTGGAGGGTTCCTTGAAGGACTTTTTGGTATAGGTAGGGTATGAGAGTTGAGTAGTAAGGTGGTAATAAAAGGGTTTTCAGCGTGCTGGGTTTTACGGGGTGTAGGAGCTCAGCTTAAGTTCGCAGAAACAGGAACGAACAGTAATCCAGGGCTCTGGTGGCCTTTCACGCATTCAGGATGGAGGGCTCAAGGTGTGTATAACGTCCTGGGATTTACTCGGACATAAACCCTAAACCCTAAACCCTAAACCAAAACCCTAAACCCTAAACCCCTAAACCCTAAACCGTCCTTAACCCGTTCTAAGCCTTAAATCGCAAACCTAAGGGTTGCTGGTTTGGGAGTTCCCTGAGACCCCAATACTCCTTAATTAGGGAATAAACCTTGAATCATACTACTAAGGCCTCGATAATTTGAGCTCTATTCCTTTATCAAGGGGTATTGGGATCTCTGGGTTATGTTTTAGGCCCAAGCTTCACTCCAATCGCTCGAGCAAAGGCGGAAACGAGTCTTTTGGCAGATTTGGCACTCGATTCTTCACATCATCAAAGTCACCTCAAGCTAAGCCCTAAACCGAAAACCCGAAACCCTAAAACGCACACCCTATACCCGAAAATCCACAACCCCTACTTAAAGGTTCATGAGACTTAGTAAACATGGTTATAACTAAGGTGACTGTACATATAAATGGATTAACCCCGGTTAGGGTACTTATAACTGTACTTACTAAGTCCCATGAACCCCAGTTTAGAACCCTTATAGATCCCTGTTAAGGAACCCTATTTATAGAACCCTATAGTACCCTTAAAAGGAGCCCTAAACCCAAATCGCTAAGTCCCATGAACCCCCCAGTAAACCCAGGAGAGATCTGCCCAAGGGCCAGTCCACAACATCCGAAGATCAGGGCTGCCCATCTCGCCTGAACGCAAGACGATAGGGTTCGTATGGCGTTTAGGGTGACGTAACTCTTTTGAGATTTTGCAAGGTATTCGGAGGCTTCTAGAGGGCTTTCTGTAGGGTTTCCACTGGCAGCGTTGTAAGATTATGGAGTTCCTACGTTCAAACCCAAAGGGTCCTATGTACTGTTATGGGGTATACTTCCCTAAGCCATAATAGTAATTCCTAATATGGAAACCCTTACATTCTACTATATCGGTACATCGGACCCTTTGGGAAAGTCACGAGGATGGGTTGGCATCCCTGCGATGCGTGCGTGGAATGATGTGCGGTTTGGGCGTGGCGCCGTGCACATGTCGCTCTCGTGTCCTATAGTGCCATAGTATTTACACAGGATCCGCTGTGCTACTATTGTCACGTGACTCGCAGCAGTACTTCGGGCAAAGGATTTTGGGCGTCCTCCTGAATCGTGGGAAAACATGATGGCTATGCTCCTGGGCGCGCAAGTACTTGGGAGAAAGCATTTTCTTTTCGGAACTTGCCAGTATGTTGAGGGAAAGCATTCCATCCAGACTCCTAAGTCCTGGTCAATCCCTTCAATGCTTGGAAGAGAATGTCGGCCCTGGTCCTGAATCTGCCAACCTAAACCCTAAATCCTAAACCCCCACACCCTAAACCCTAAAGTTTGGTGGTGTCCTGGCTGTTTTGTGGGGTGTCTTGGTGGTCTGCTGGTGTTGTCCTTGTGGTCCTGGTGATCTCCTGGCGGTCTCCTGGTTGTCGCGGCCGTCGTGGTCGCTGTCATAATGTATAGGCTCGGCTCGGCAATAATGATGGCTCAAATTCCTCGTAGCTGCTGCAGGATCTAGGACAGGAGTCGTAAACACGACGAGTCTAACACACTAGCCTTGGTAACCAGCAAACTAGGGTTTGGGGGATAGTCCCGTATATTTTGTAAGGGGAACACAGGGGGATGCTGTCGTTGTTTATTCAGACCCCCGAAGTACCAAGGCCACTCGCCTGCTGACGCCAAAAAACACAAGTCAGGCCGTGAACACAATCACAATGTTGCTTGCCCCTGCTTTTCTACAAGATGGCCTACCGCAGGGGGATGGGGATGGCATGTGACTAAACTGTCTGGCCAGACAAGTCTGGCAACAACATGCATGGACACCTATCCCGACACGAGCCTTCAGGTAGCGCTGAAAAACAATACATTCATATTGTCCATTCGTGACGAAGACAATGGTTGGACAAACATGTGAATACTAACAGTTCGCTGACTCTCACATTGTTTATATAGTCTCCAAAACCAAACCACCAAATACAGATCTGGCTTCATTTGCCGTAGATTTCACTCGGGGAACACAACGTAAAACAACTAACACTAATGACTTCCCGTATGCGGGTGTCTTGCCCTATGCGGCTTTAGGTAGCGTGGTACCACATGATAGATCCAATAGAACTTCCAGAAAATCTCGTGGTGGACTTCCCTACTTCCTAACATGCTCTGCCTGCAGTTTTGCGCCGAATCCCAAAGCATAGCGTGCTTCACCCAACCGCAACCACAACCGACCCCAGAGAGCCCAATACCCCTTAATTACGGAATATAGCTTAAATCATAATATGAAGCCCCGTATAATTTAAGGTATATTGCTTAACTAAGGGGTATTGGGCTCTCTGGGTGCCCGGCCCCAAGTCCTTGATTTTGGGGCGTAATCGCGACTTTGTGGCCATGGCACCAGCTGCATGCTGCTTATGTGGGTGGCTGTCAAAATTAGGGTCCCTTTTTGGGTCCTTAAGGTAAAAGCCAGAGTTGGAATATGATTATCCTAACCCTTCTATGGTAAATTATAGGGTATCCTACCATGAAACCATATTCCAACTTTCTGGAGTTTCCTATATTATAATACGGCACCTGATATTTAGGGGGTACCCCAAAAAGGGCCCATAATTTTGACAACCACCCATGTGACGAATGTGAGGTTGATGGACGATCCCGGGCTGAGGGTTTGGAGTTTAGGGCAATAACCGAATCAGGGTTTAGGGTTTAGGGGGCAATTGTTCAAAAAAAGGATAACCGGTGCGGCATATGGATTACCGATGTTGTCTCCAGGCCGCACTTGTGGCACCGCCTTCTGATTTTGATCGGCATGTCTACCGAGAAAAGCAGTATCTTGCTGATTTAGAGAAGAGCCCAATACCCCTTAATTAAGCAATATACCTTAAATTATAAGGGGCTTCATATTATGATTTAAGCTATATTCCTTAATTAAGGTGTATTGGGCTCTCTGGGATGCTGAGCACAGTCTCGGATCTCGAGGCCCCACAGATTTGCACCGCAATGGAACAACCATTCAACCAATCCTAAACCTATAGATCCCTTCCAGGAGCCCTTAAACGAACCCTTATAGATCCCTAGTAAGGAACCCTAGGAGTCTCTGGGTACCCCTGAACCTTCGAGGGTGATGGCATGAGCCAAGCACAACGTTTTTGCTAGCACGGCTTAGGGTTTAGGGCTTAGGCTGCGTCGGGCTAAGCGTGACGACGATAGGTTTTACGCATGCATGCATGTGCGTAAGCATCTGTCTATGTGTCAGTTACAGCCATACACAGAGAATGCTAAACCCCCAATCCAGCGACGCGCATCAGAGATCGAGCATGTCTGGAAATGATTGATGTAGGGGCCTGAATAATTAAAACAGGGCTTTGGGGTATGGTATACTATATCCATAACAAGGTAATTATTCATGTCCCTATATTGCACTCATCGCAGCTGTCTTTCGGCTCACAGCGCTGAACTGAACGCAGGTCTGGGGCGAGCCTGGCCCACGGGAATCGGGCTTGAGGATTTAGGGTTTGAGATGGAGGTTTCTGAGATGTGGGAGTTTCCGAAATTAGGGGACCCCAATATAGTACCCTAAATTGTAGGACCCCCCCCCATAACAAGGACCCCAAAATAAAGGTAACCCGAATTTTCGGAAACTCCCATGTGAAGCATACATACTTTTTTCCCGTTCTCTTTAGTTTAGTTCAGAGAGGTCGGAGATGTGCAGAGTTGCGGGCTTGCAGACTGTCCGGCGTGTCAGAAATTTTGGGAAAAAGTGCCCTTTTTGATTTAAAGGGGCTTATAACGGAACCTGAACCCTAACGAAGGGAATAAGGGCCTACTCACTACGCTACCTAAACCTACGAGAACCTACTTACTTGTAGGGTCCCATAAGATCCCATATAAGGGTTTATAATAAGAACCTACAAAACAGGTAGGGTTTAGTAGGTCTAGGTAGGTCCTACTTGGAGGTTCATGGGACTCAGTAACTACAGTTATAGGTACCTTAACTGGGGTTAGCACTAATGATAAGTATAGTTACCTTATTTATAGCCCTAGTTACTAGATCCCATGATCCTCCAAGTAGGTCCTCGTTATCCAGCTCGCTTGGAGCTCTTCCTGTGCGCAAAGCTCAGCCTCAGCACGCTGAAGGGAGTGCCAGGAAATGTCATCCCAAAGGGTCCCAGGTACTGTTATGGGGGATACTTTCACAAATCATAATAGTAATTCCTAATATATAAAACGGTTCCTGACAAAAAGGTCTATAAGGATCACTATAAGGGCTATTATAAGGATTTAGCCTACGGGCCTTAATAATTACCTATAGTATTTTGGGGGGTCCTTATTGTAATTATAGTATAAAATAACCCCGAAACCCTATTCTAATTATTAAGGCCCCCATAATACAATTCCCCAGGGTTCCTCACTACAGTTCTTGTCTTTTCCCGGAATTCGGCGCCAGAACGGAGCACGAAGAGGCAGACTGCTATCGGCGCAACCCTCGGCCTCTACCCCCCAGGTTCAAAAAGAGACGCCTTGAAACCCGCAAAACTTGTAGTACAGAACCCTCGAAGGACCGCTGAAACCCCTGACCCTACACCCCGAACTTAAATCCGGAACTAGGTGTCGATTTCAACAGTCCCCAAAAAGCATCTATAATCAGGGTTCTATCATAACTACTATTTGCTTAAGAACCCCCCAAAAAATAAAAATAATAATCCCTATATTACCCCCATAAGGAATATATTTTTCATTTTTTGGGGGTTCTTAAGCAAATAGTAGATAAGGGGACATGAAAAGTCAGCCCAAATCAATACCTACTAAAGGGCAAGTCAGAAACTCCCAAACGGCCTCCACTTGCCAATCGAAAGCGCGGGGACCTGCCTGAAGTGCAGAACACAGGGTCCCCGGCTAGTGGTTTAAGGCCGTATAACCCTAAACCCTGAATTGCAGAACTGAGGGTTTCCAGAACCTCCAGTAACCCAGAAACAACAATTTGGTAGTTGTTTAAACAGATTGTTTTGAAAAGGCAAACATCCATTACATACATACAGATTTTCCCCTACTTATGTATTCGGCTGTGTATCACTTATTAATTTCCAAGAGTACGTTAACATCAAACAGCAAACATATTCTAGTTGGTACAAACAAACAACTATGTGAGCCTGCACGAGATATGCAGGAACTGTGTAATTTGTGCGTGCGGGCGGGCGGGCGGCCGGGCGGCCGGGCGGGCGTGCGTGCGCGCAGGCGTGCGGGCGCGCAGGCGTGAGTGGGTGCGTGTAGGTGTAGGTGTAGGTGTGGGTGTGGGTGTGGGTGTGTGTGTGTGTGTGCGTGTGTGTGTGTGTGTGTGTGTGTGTCTGTGTCTGTGTGTGTGTGTGTGGGGGGATCGGACAGCATGCTGCGAATGTCCTTTTGTCTGACACAAGTTGCGACCCCACCGACCCGACAGAAGCACCAACGGTGGAGCGGAATCCGTAAACCCTAAACTCTAAACCCAACACTCCAGAACCCCAAGCCCAAAACCCAAAACCCCAAGCAGCTTGAACTAAGACGCGACGCGTGCCTCAAACGGCTCGCGCCAGGAGCGGTCAAAGTGCAGGAGCCACGAGCTTGGTAGTTTGTGGTTTAAAGTGTACGGCTTGGGGTTTAGGAGTTTAGGGTTTAGGGTTCAGGGTGTTTAGGATTCCTTTAAAGGGGTATAGGGTTTACGGTTGTACAGCTCGGCTAGGAAAAAGTGCTTTAGAAAAAAATCACGCGCCTAGGTAGACTCCAGAAACGTTTCGAAATGCAAGGTATGAACAACGCAACCGCTTCTGCCAAGCATTCACATACCACACGCTATCACAAGTTTCACAGTCATCTCTTTCACAAGCATTTCCAACACCTAACCAATGCAATCTGTTCAAGGATCTCACAAATATGACAGTTGTGAGGTAGATATCTGGTGGATGTAAGCCAGAATCATGGTTGATATCTCTAGCTTACTCGGGTCAGTGTGTTGAAGTACACTCATGCACAAAGCTGCTGCCGCTCTGACAAGTCCTCCGAATGTCGACTTCGTCGTAACGAAAATACTCCATGGATAGGACAGAGGCGCAAGATTGAAATCTTCCGCTCAATGAGGTAGAGTCTTTTGATGCACACCTTCGATCGTAATACTCATCGGCATAGCATTAGCTTACCGGCCAGTTCTTTGACCTGGCTCTCTCAACAATTGCTACAGTTTGAACTTAGCAAGTTCTCGGTCTATTGTGATTACGAAGTTAACAAGTTTCCAGTTCAATCTGTTCGGAAGGATAGTCTTCAATCCCCGCCTCACCCTGGAACCACAGGTTGAAATATCAACCGCGCGCACGGATGTGGTAAGTGGAATATCAGTTGCGTCTCACCTAGGAGTCGATTTCAAAAGTCACCAAAATCTGTATAACTAGGTCTGTGTGTTCAGCAATGACGGAAATAAAAAGTGTCCCAACCCTAGACCCCTAAACCCCTAAACCCTAAACTAGGTATTGGGTAACTTTATAGGGAAGCTAGGACTACTGGGCGCTGGGGTTATCTCACTTCAGCTGGTGAGAATACACATCAATGCCGACAGACGCTGGTTTAGGGAGAATACACATCAGCGGGAAATTTACACATCAGAAATACCTAAACCCCATGTAGACGCTGGATTCAAGAAGCACGCAGCAGGTAGGCCAAAGTGCCGGATTTGTTGCGGACGCTGAGGTATATACTACATTTGGAAGCATTCCAAGATAAGAAAGCAGTGCGTTTGCCAAGTAGACGCTGGGATTTGAAAGTGGCATGCTACTAGTGTAGTATAAGACTGAGAGGATGCCTGAACCCGCCACGGAAGCATGAAAAGCAACCCTGAAAAATGGGTGGTGAGTAGGTCGCTATATTATGGTCCTACGCGAGTCCCGCGTGACCCTGCGCGAGTCCTGCGCGATGCAGATGTGAGCAGAAGACTCTTTGGGCTTCAAAAACCGATAGGCGCAGACCGCACCAGTGCATATGTATACAGCTGTCTAATACATAAGCTGCAATACACAAGCACACACTCGTGCGAAGATGAGCGCGCACAAGCCCACTGACACTGACAATGAATATGAAGGTGAAGATACAGAGCTTGATAAGATGATATAACGTTTATAATGCGTTCCCCGAAGTAGACGCCTTGCAGATGCGTAAAACACCCAGGTGATACGAGATAGCCCCGGGACCAAGTACAAAAAGGGAATAAGGGTACTACTGGGCATCCTACTGATGGATGGCGGGCCAAAAGGGGCGTTTAAGATTCTTGGAGTAGGGATTCCTGAATATGAACCCTATTGGAACCCTAATCCCTACTAAACCCCCATAGGCTAAAACCCCTTTTGGCCTCCTATGAAACACCGCAGCTTGTCAGCCAGTCCGTGCTTCCGACCGTACCGGAGGAGACTGAGGTCCCGGCTCAACTGATGCCTGTAACACAGGGGACTGAGTTAGAATAGGGCTTGTGGATATATCATGCCATAATGAAAATAAGGAACCCCAAAAAACAAATTTGTGATAAGTTAGGCCTCAAATATGACCACAAAGCCCTTGCAACCATAACGAAAATATTGTGCTTACAAGCCCTTTCTTTTTCTTATTAATAACAAAGATAGAGTCCGTTCTTTTTTCAACAAAAAAGTCATTCCAAAGAAGCATAAAAAATAATCATGCTGCAGCCGGGAGCTTCTTGGCTTTAGCACCGCGTGTTGCTCGTCGATGGCGGTTAAGGGTCTGGGGTTCAGGGTTTGGGATTAGGGGTTCAGGGTTCGGGTTTCAGGGTTCTTTCTCATTTTGAATACATTTCTCCGTCTGCAGAAATGTCTGCGGGGTTCAGGGTTTAGTGTTGAGGGTTCAGTTTAGGGCTCAGGGTTTAGTGACGCAAGAAGTCGGTGGCGACGGTTGCGAGCGAAATTGCCAGCAGCATCGTTCTCGTTCAAAGAACCGCTGAGATTCGGGTTGAATGTTTTACTCAGACCGACAAGTGGCATGAAATAGCCACAGCAGCGACCATGGCAGTTCCCCGGAGCTTGGTAAAGCAACTCATACTGGGCCATGCAACTGTCAGAACTAGCGACCGTCTGGTATTTATAGCAGAGGCAGTGACATACACCATTAACAAGCTGCTAGTAGCTGGGCAAAATCAGGCGTACTACTGTTGATGGACAAAATCCTGCACTACCCATTATAAGGAATCTACCATAGCTCCCATGGTTTGGGGTCCTTAGGGTCATGCAGGATTTTGTCCATCAGCAGTAGCACACAACTCGCGTATCGCCATGGAATGCTTGTAGCAGCTGGTTCTGCTCGAGTCACCAGGCATCCTGAGGAGTCGACGCTAGATCCATCCAGATCCTAACTGGGGGTTTCCGACATATAGCGGACCCTAATGTAATACCCTAAATAGTGGGATCCATATTATGAGGACCCCAAAATAAGGTGCCCCGATTTTCGGAAACTCCCATCTAGAACCTAAATCAACCCTGACGAAAGTCTCAAGTACCGCACATGCCTGCGCTGCGCCAGTTTTCAAGCGCATTTCGAACTCCTGACAGTCTAAGTACCTACGATTTTCGGCGAGTAGAGTTTGGGGGTTTCGGGGTTGTTATTTTATGGCTTAGGGTCGATGTATGGTGTGCTCCGTGCAGGGTTGACTTCGGCGTTTTCTTGGTTTGAGGCTTTGCGGGCTTTGCGCTGGAGTCGTATATAGGTTCCTGAGCAGCCCCTTTCTAGTAAGTGTATCCTTTTCCTACCAGTCGGCCCTAAACCCTAAACCCTAAACCCTAAACCCTAAACCCTCTTTAATCAGGGGATCCTAAAGGCTACCACTCAAGAACCCAGGGTTGAGTTGCTCTGGTTTTGTTGGCTTCGGATTTTAGTTTTGCTCAGTTCGAGAGCCCGAAAAAGTGCACACTTCTAGTTTTATAGTAGGTAGTAGTACCCAGAAATTGTAAGTTGTAGCCAGTCAGCTACTAAGAGATGGTTTGGGGTTGAAGATATCGGCTTGGCATCGGCTGCTTTGGGTTCAGTTTGGTATGCTCCAGCACCGAGAATCAAGCTTCTAGGCGTCATATACGACATTTATATTTGCAATTGGGTTTTGGAGTGATGATACAGCCTCTGCATATGTGGACCAGGAGTGACGATACTATCATAAGGGAAGTTCGCACGAACTACTGTAGTGTCAAGGAGTGTTGCAGCTTCAGAACATATCGCGTTGCGGAGCACAGGGCTTCGGTGCGAGACGGCGCAGGCAGTACTTACTTGTCCAGTATCCTAGGGGATCTCAAAGCTAAATTTTGGGATTGTTTAGGGATCACAGTACCCCAAACGTTAAAGGCTACCTGCTGGACTACTAACAGTAAGACACCAACTGCAGGTGTAGCATTGAGGCTACTAGGTCATTGACATGCATGATGCTTTATGGATGTAAAGATGTGGGAGTTTCCGAAAATAGGGGACCCAAATATAGTACCCTAAATAGTGGGATCCTTATTATAAGGGCCCCAAAATAAGGTACTCCTAGTTTTCGGAAACCCCCATAGGTCCTAAACCCCTCACACAGCTTTCCTTCCTTCGGAAACAAAGCCAGCAACGGTGCTTCAAGGGGCTGCAAATGGGCATGACGGTGGTTAGAAAATCAGAGCCCTTGCATAAACCAACTTCAGTCGACCCTGCGAACACGAAAACCCTAACTAAACGCCAAACCTCAAAGCCTACCCCCTGATCCCCTGAGCCCCAAAGCCCGAGCCCTTCTTGTTTCAAATCCCTCACACCCTGAATCCCACCTGTCTACAATTCCACCAGACTCCAATGAGAATACATTACAATCCCTTAAGACTTGTTGAGTCCATAAAACCCTAAGCCCTAAACCCCAAAGCCCCATCGAACCCTGCAGCAAGCCCTACTAGCAACGAGCCCATGAAGGAACCCCCCCCCCCTGACAAGAAGTGTATAAAGGCACCCCTTTAAAAGGAGCCCTCACACGACCTCCTCACAAAAAGGAGCCTTTGAAAGAACCCCTCAAGGAATCGCAAACCCTTAAACCCTGAACCCAAAGCCTTCAAAGGAACCCGTACAACACCCGTAACCCCTCAAAGGAGCCCTCAAAAGAACCCCTTCATCACAGCTTTTGAAGCCCTCGAGATTCCTTCAGCTGATTGATAGAGACAGCACGAAACTGAAGCGGAAGGACCTGGGTTCAGGGCTTCAGTGATGGGAGGCCAATAGGGGGGTTTAAGATTCTTGGGGTAGGGATTCCTTAACATGAACCCTATTATGGGAACCATAATCCCTACTAAACCCCCATAGGCTAAAACCCCTTTTGGCCTGCTATGATTCAGGGTTCAGGTTTCAACTGCGGCTTTCACTAAGGCCAATTCCACTCGCGGCTTCGGCTCTACTTGAAGGATCATGGGACTTAGTAAGTAGGGTTATAAGTACCTGAATTGGGGTTATAAGTAATTATAACTGTAGTTACTTTACTTAAAACCCTACTTACTAAGTCCCGTGATCCTTTAAGTACTCTACCCAGAGACCCCAATACCCCTTAATTAAGGAACATAGCTTAAATAGTAATGATAACTGTAGTTACTTTACTTGTAACACTAAGTCCCATGATCCGTTAAGTAGGGGTTTTAGGGAGTCAGGGCTCAGGCTTGACAGGATCTACCTACTTGTCGGGTATCATGGGGAACTAAAGGTTAACCTTTTTGGTTATATAGGGACTACATAGGGACTATACCACCCAAAAAAGGTTAAAGGTTGCCTACTCTACTACTAGGTCTATCACGGCTTTGATATCCTGCTCAGTGGGTATGCCGTGCTTACCAATCCTATCACGACAGCCGGTTCGGCTAGCACGGAATGGTGCCAGTTCTCGTCGATGTGGCTGTCGCTAGTTTTCATTACTATGATTACTATTTATGCTTGCGGAATCATGACTCATGTGGTGGTTGCTGATCTCGCTGTTGCGCTCGCCGTTGCCACTCGCATGTCTGCCGATGTCTGTAATGCCTAATTCTATTGATGCTTGGTCGGCACTACTGTCGTATCTTTCATGTTGTCAGAGCCATTATTCTTAGTTGGTACGATAGAGAAAGAAAATTTCAGCCTGCACAGTACCATCGTCACGACCCTCGTTGTGTCAAGATGGTCATGTTTCACATGGCTCTCATGACTTGCTGGACCATCTTGCGTCTCCATATGAGGCATCATTACTCCAGTTACACCCATTTTCCCAAACCTGAAAAGACCTACACAAGCCGTGAGTACCTAGACCCTCGTTCTACCTTCTGCCAGACCCTGACTATGAAGTGTCCTTTGCGTGGTTTGAAGGTACAAGAAAGGAGCTGGGAATCCCGGAAAGGAACCCCTTGAAGGAGTCCTTAAAGCAAGCACCTGGCTGGCATTCTTCCCACATGTTGATGCTGGTGGGTAGTTGCTAAAGTAAGTTGGGTCCCTTTTCTAAGGTTGTTGCAACACTTGGGGGACCTAAACAAGACCCTCATTTAGAGAACTTCCTACATGCGACGTGGAAGTAGAGCAGTGTGTGAAGAGAACCATGGTGACGAACGCAACGATGAAGATACTGTTGTTGGTGGTATTGGTGGCAAGGAGAAGGAGCTGGTTCTGCTTCCTGATCGCAAAGACCAGATACTGCTGATGGTGACGATGCCAGTAATGTGGGAGGGGTAAGGATCTAATATGTAGGGGCCTTCTCAATCTGAAAAGGGTCCCATTGTTATAGTAACCTCGCAATACGATTCATGCCCCCATATTTCCTGCTCTTGAAAAAACCCGATCTGTACAAACCGTAGGGATCCGCGCCCGATCGTCATCGAGCTGCTCCTCAGGCTCATCACAAGCAACCCCTTCGGCCCATAAGACGAATATGGGAGTTTCCGAAAATAGAGGACCCTAGTATAGTACCCTGAAGAATAGGGTCCTTATTATGGGGACCCCAAAATAAGGTACCCCAATTTTCGGAAACTGCCATATAGGGGCCTTAATAATCAGAATAGGGTGTTGGGGTATACCATACTTTAAATACATAAGGAACCCTCAAAGAGTATAGGTAATTATTCAGGGCCCTATAGTAAGGGGGCATCCCATTCTGTGAAAGATCACAGAGAAGACAACACAAGGCAGTATCCAACGAGCACTCCGGCAGCACGAAACTGCGCAAGACCCAGAGCAAAGGAGGGTAGAAGACCATGACATACGGTTGATGGTATAAATCCTGCATTGCCCATAGTAAGGAATATACCAGAATTCCCTTCGTTTGGGGTCCTTAAGGTAATGCAGGATTTATATCATCAACAGTGGCATCGTGACATAATGATCCCACTGCTGCTAACCATGGCAACAATCATAGGACATAGAATCACCATGATCCCGAAATCCTCACCCCCCCCCCCCCCCCCCCCCCCCCCCCACCCCCCCCCCTCCCCCACACCTTGAACCTCTGTAGTCCTGAGACAACTATCGGCAGCATGATCTCTCGACTGTCATGGTTCTGGAGGATCACCAAACCCAAATCCTAAACTTGACTCCCAAACTCAAGTCTCCGACAGCTCAGACCGTAAAATGTAGGGGTCTTACTAATTACAATAAGTTTTTGGGGGTATATACTACCGGTAAAAAAAACAACCCCCAACAATGTATCGGTAAATGCTCAGGCATTTATAGTTTTCCTCAAACCTTGAAGCCCCAAAACCCTGAACACCCAAAAGCCCAAACAGAGTGCCGCTGCAGGGGACTGTGAATAATCGAAAATATTCCCGAAATGTGATGAAATCTAGCCATTCTAATTATTGAGGCCTCTGCGCCCTGTACAAAATCCGGAAAGAAACCGTCTACGTACAACAGCCTTACCACGTCCCTGGACAAGCTTACCAAAAAGCCTCATGAACTCCTCAAACATACATGCCCATATAGAATGCCCATGAAGCCCTGCGAGAAACCCGAACAACGCAGAGTCTTGCGGGCCTCGAGGTAGGGACCCAAAAAGGGACATGAGCATAAGCATCTTATAGGGCCTATAGGGGATATTCCGACCTTATTGGGATTCATTATGGGGGGGTTCATATGGGATATCCCTGTGCCAATTTTTGCTTATGTGGGTGGTTGTCAAAATTATGGTCCCTCTTTGGGTCCTTGTTATAATACGGCACCTAATATTTAGGGCACCCAAAAAGGGACCCTAATTTTGACAACCACGCATGTGGGATATCCGTATGCCTATTTTTGCTTATGTGCTTTTTTGGGGCTCTTATTTCCTGCAAGGGGATCCACAAGGGTTCCATTAAAGGGGATCCATGGGGGCCTTTTGGGGGATCTGTAAGGGCCTATTTTTGCTTCTGTGTTTTTTTTGGGGGGGCCCTGCCTCGAGGCCCTGTAACACGAGGCCCAAGGGGCGGCAAGGCCTTTTGAGCAGCGGGCCGGCGGTGCTTTTGAAGTTCTTTAGGGTTTAGGGTTTAGGATTACGGATTAGGGTTTGGGGTTTAGGGTTTAGGGTGTAGGGGTTTAGGGTTTCAGGGTTTAGGGTTGAGGGTTTCAGTTTAGGGTTTAGGGTTTTAGCGCTTAGGGTTTTGGGGTTTCAGGGTTTGGGGTTTAGGGCTTGGTTTAGGGTTTTAGGGTTTCAGGGTTTAGGGTTTTAGAGTTTAGGGGTTAGGGGGTGAGGAGTATGATCCGACACCATAACATCATCCGTTACCCTGGTTCTTTGGCTTCGGGGTTTACTTAAAGGTTCATGGGACTTTAGCTATGGTCATAAATAAGCTAACTATACTTATAATTGGATATAACCCCAGTTAGGGTACTTATAACTGTACTTACTAAGTCCCATGAACCCCCTAGTAGGGTTTAGGGATAATTATATACGCTTACAGGGCTGCTTATAGGATTAAAGGGTTTAGGAGTCTTTGCAGGCTTACAGGAGTTGATTCGATCTGTAGGCTCTGCATCCCTAGGATACCCAGTAACCTAAGAATAAAAAGGCCTCTCTTTTTGGTATTGGGTAACTTTGTAAGGAACCTAGGACTACAAAAAGGGAATAAGGGTACTACTGGAGATCCTAGATCCTGTTTCTTGTGGTTTAGGACTCTCAGGATCTGAGGGCAAAAGGCTTCAGGGGTGTAGGCATCATCTAGGCGTTTAGGCTAACTTGTCCAGTATCCTCTCGGATTTAACAGTTAACCTTCGCGCTTACACGAGGGTTCTAAAACCCCAAAAGGCTAGAGGTTGCCTACTCTACGACTAGGTAGGGCTTAAGGATCTGAGGTTTAGGCTTCAAGGCTGCAGTTTCGGGACTCAGGAGTTGAGGGTTTGGAATTTAGGGGTGTGGGGGTTCAGGAGTTTAGGGCGTATAGGTAGTTTAGGGTTCGGCACCTGGGCTTGCCCTGTTGTCCGGTTGTAAACCTGCTTCCGAAGCTGTTCGGGGGTTGACGGATCAAGCGCTGAGCTTGTGGGCAAGCTTGCTAATATCATTTCAGGTATATCCCTGAATCAAGGAACATATTGCGATGCTTGGGATGTATAAGGGTCTGAAGAACTTCTAGGGCTATTCCCAGACCTTCCAATATCCCGTGAATGAGGATTACACCTCAAATTGCAGGATGATCACCGCTGTGATTTAACCTAGGTGTCGATTTTAAATCACCAAATCTATGTATAATCATGGTTCTGCAGTGGGGTTTGGCTTCAGTGTGTCAGGGGCGGTCATGCTTTTTTAACGTGCAGTGTGGTTTTCTCCGGGGTTTTCGGTTAATGTAGGAACCTGATTAAGAACCCTGGGCCTATAAACCCAAAATAGTAGGATTCATACAAGGACCCCTAATAGAGGCCCAAGGTTTCTTAATCAGGTTCCTCATTAACAAAGATCCCGTAGGATCGAGTCATCGCAACCAGCATCGAACACCGCCGTCGTCATCCTCATCGTCACTGCTAGAACTAGCTTCCTGTGTAGCACCTTCATAATCAGGGTACTTTTTTCCTACTACTCGGTCTTTTAATAAGGGGACCCTAAAACAAAAAGGGCATAAGGGTACTACCCTGGAACCTAGAGAAGCATCATCACCAGACAAGGCTTTGATATCCAAGCAAAGAGGATCGCTACCTTGTATAAGACATCCCCTAGTGAAAGTACCCAGAGACTCCAATATCCCTTAATTAAGGAATATTTCTTTAATCATATTAGGGATCGTATTAAAATTTAAGCAATATTCCTTAATAAAGGGATATTGGAGTCTCTGGCCCCTTGGATATGACGGCGATTACTATGACGATGATGGTGATGATGCTAAGAGTGTGGAGGATGACGATGATAAGGATAAACGTGAGGTGGTGAACTGCAGATGCGCCAGGAGAACCGAAAGACGAAGAGGAAAAGCTACTACCAGAATTACGCTGAAAAAGCCATCTCACTACTACCTTTAGAAACGGTTCGCGATCTGAACAACAGCCACGGGAAACACGAGAACCGTGAATGTGCTTGAAGGCTTGTGGTGGTCGGAGAAGCTGCATTCGCTGCAGTGTCGTCAGCATCAGTACAAGGACCCTACCACCAGCACGATTACCACAATTATGCGCTCATCCATTCGCAGTCACCATCGTGGCCAGGACTACATTCTTGCCCATTGATCGCATTATGGTCGCTATGCCCACAAGCATTTTGATTGAGTTTGAATTCAAGACTTTCTCTGCAGGTCGAAACCCATCCCGCTCTAGTGCGGGAGCTTACAACTTAAGCCCTCGTCATCGTCATCATCGACAACATACTACGATTGTCGCCTTGCTCATACGAACCACCATCCTCACCCTCTTCCTCGTCACCATCTTCCTATTCTTCTCCATAATCACCGTTGTTCCTCTGCTCCTCGCGTGCCAACATTAGTCGGGGAGCCTTGCAGAAAGCAGCACATTGGCGTTGGCGCGTCCTGCGACCGTCGGACCCGCAGAAAACGGAAGGAAGGAAACTGAGTTAGTATGACCTAGGATGCCCAATAACCTAGGAATAAAAAGGCCTCCCTTTTTGGTATTGGCTGACTTTCTGTGGGAACTTGTCGGGTATCATGGGGAACTAAAGGTTAGCCTCTTTGGTTTTCTAGGGGTTATATATATAGGGACTATACTACCCAAAAAAGATTAAAGGTTACTTACTCTACTACTGGGTTAACACAGAGTTTAGCGATTGGGGTTTAGGGCTGCAAGGAAAGCATGTCTTCTGCTAGATACCCCTAGCATAGTGACATGAACTAGGCTCCTACTTGGAGGGTCGGGGGACTTAGTAAGCAGGTAGTAAGTAGACTTATAAGTACCCTAAAAGGGACCCTAATTGGGGGTATTGTACTTACAAGTCCCTAAAATAGCCAGTTACTAAGTCCCCCGACCCTCCAAGTAGTGTAGTGTTTAATGACCCGCAGCTTCTCCGAGTCTCGTGAACCCAGAGACTCCAATATCCCTTAATTAAGGAATGTTCCTTAAATCATATTAGGGGTCGTAGGAAAATTTAAGGAATAGTCCTTAGTTAAGGGATATTGGAGTCTCTGGGAAGCCTCAGGAAGCTGTATCCTAGGGCATTTCAAGGTTTTAACCTTTGGGCTACAGTCATACATGGGTTCTAATACCTCAACGTAAAGGTTACCTACTCTACGACTAGGCCAAAGGAAAGTAGGCCTCAAAAACCCCAAACCCTAAACCCTACCGCTAAACCCTAAACACCTAAACCCGTCTGGCCGAGGATGGTGCTACCTGCAGCATCGCAGCCTACTGTTCGTGGAGGTGTAGTAATTCTCTTTGGGAAGGAGTTTACAGGGACGAAGCAGAAAAAAAAGTACGCCTTGCTATACTTCCACGGGCTTGAAAAAATGCCAATACTTTTCTCAAAGCCGTGCTACGTATCCTACACCCCAAACCCTCTTCTAACTGTTGCGACCCCTATGCTAAGCCTCAAAACCCCTAATGAGGCTGGGCACCCTTAGAGGAATCCCATGATGCATAAGTGTGTAGAACTGATTTCGCCGCCCCCGCCCCCTCCAATACTACTTACTTGTCCAGTATCCCAGAAGATTTCACGGTTTAACTTTTGGGTTTACATAGGGGTTATTATAATACCCCCAAACGGTCTAAGGTTCCCTACCCTACCAATAGGATACAAAGGTTGAGCATCGAAATGGGGATTTCCCCAAATGGGGGACCCTAATCTGAATCCCTAAGTAACAGGATCCTTATTACAGGGAACTCCAGAAAGTTGGAATATGGTTTCATGGTAGGATCCCCTATAATTTACCTTGAAGGGTTTAGGATAATCATAGTCCAACTTTCTGGCTTTTACTTTGAGTAACAGGATCCTTATTATAAGGACCCCAAAAAATCAGGCACCCCGAATTTTTGGAGCTCCCAGATGTCTCCTCCAGACTTTGGGAGGCCGAAGCGTATCGCCGGGGCCACCTGGGAGATGTCAGAGCTGTCATGAATTTAGGGGGGTCCTATACAGGTTCATTAAGGTATCCTCACACTACACCGAAAACAGCAGAATACAAAAAGTTGGATACAAAAGAATATACAACATAACGCACACTGATGTGATTGCATAGGCATAGTATATAAAATACTACCGTATCATGTAAGAGAACATCTAAAAGGGCTCTTAGAAGGGTCCCTATGAAGCTTCCAAAAGTGTTTCCAAGTTCGGGCATCGGCTGAGGGTTTTGGAGTAAGTGTTGTTGGGTTTGGGTTTCGGGTTTATAATGGCTAGGATTCAGAGTTTGGGGTCTTGCTTCTTTTAGTTTTGTGTGCTTTGGGTTTAATTCGTTTGAAAGGCGTGTTTGGACCCACAAGGTGAAACTAGTTTCTGGCCATCGTGTGTATACGAATTTGCATAGATGAACGAGCCTCCTCATTCCATACCCGGGGGTTACGGAACTCGACCGTCACCATGCTGCAAGTGACTGCATCCACCCTACTCGACAACCGTAACCAAGCCCAGCAACGTAGACATCATTGAAGTCGCCGTGTTCAGACACAGCTAATGTAGGAACCTGATTAAGAAACCCTGGGCCGATAACCCCAAACTAGAGAGATTCATATAAGGAACCCGTACTGATAACGGCCCAAGGTTTCTTAATCAGGTTCTTACATTAGATAGGGTAGAGGAGCCTTTATGATTAGAATGAATTCCTTTAAAGGGGTCTATAAGGATTACTATAAAGGGCTATTACAAGGATTTCTACATGAAGGTTCCTACACTAATCTCCTAGGCTGCCTTGGTTCACCTGGCATTGCGCTTTGGGGTGTTGTAAGGAAACATTTGTGGCTCCGGTGTCCCGCTGTATACTCTAGTCCTGAAATGACTGTCTGGTTCTTAGTAGGGAATGGGTTAAGGGGACTACTATTGCGGATTATATAGGGACTACTATAGGGATCCACTTCCCCATTCCCTGTCAAGCACCAGACAGATGAGAAACGCACCCTCCACACCGAGTCGTCTGTTCTTGAACCCCTTCCCATGTTTATGCAAAACCTCCCCTCTTTAATAACGAAACATTCTGCATCCCGGCCCTCACCCCCCAGGATTCAGCCCCAATGCTACGACAGTTAAAGAATCAGCATAATTTGGTCTCTACCTAGAGTCCACAGTGTAGTTCCTTCTTTAGCTTAGCATATACTCATTTACGAGGTGTATTCGCATCCTAAATATAAGGTAAACAAAACAGGCAACTATAACGGAGTCTATCTGACTTGTCCCCATCCCCAGGATTTATGGGTTAAACTTTTGCGGGATATAAAAATATATATATATATATATATATATATATATATATATGTAGGCGTTCTAATACCCATTACAACAATACCCCTTACAACGTCAAAGGTTACCTAATCTACCAGGTGTCGGTGTGTGGATTTCAACAGTCCCCAAAACTCTATATAACTGGGGCTCTATATTGGGCAGTAAGGGAGATTTTATGCTTATCCCAAATCGATACCTACTCTACCACTAGGCCATAGGTAAGCACAGGTGGAAGAACTTCCGGCTGAGTGCAGAAGGTAGTATCAGCCTTAATAATTAGAATAGGGTTTTGGGCCCCATTAGACTCTAATGATTTTTGGCCCCTATATTACTAGACCCAAGAGTAACCCAGGCATAAAACGGATGCCCTTTTTGGCTTAAAGGGGCTTATAAGGGAACCTGAACCCTAAAAAAGGGAATAAGGGCCTACTCTGGGTCCTAGATTAAGGGAGTACCATATTTTAATACCTTTTTGGGGGTCAACGGGCCCCTTGCCAACCAGGATTGAACGGCTGAGACTGCAGGTAAGCCGGTCTTGACCTGCACTGCTGCAAAATGTAACAAAGTGTCACCTGCCCTGCGAAGGAGGGCTTAAGTAAAACAAAAATGTGAATGCATCTATGTCAAGATGCAATGGGCTGCATGAGAAAAGTCAACTAATGCTGGCCCTCACCACTACCTGCAGTATCCATTGTAGTTCCTGTCTCTTTGTGTATAGGCCCCCCCCCCCCCCAACAGCACATAAGCAACAAATAGGATAGGGATATCCCATATAAACCCCCTTATTAAAAGGAATCCGAATAAGGTAGGGGCAACCCCGTAAAATGCTTATGCTTATGTGCTTTTTGGGTCCCTAAGTTTATACAGGTTCCACATTCATGATCGGATGCGGTAACCTACAGAAGAAGTGCAATCCCAAAGGGTCCTATGTACTGTTATGGGGAATACTTCCCTAAGACATAATAGTAATTCCTAATATGGAAACCCTACTTGGAGGGGCATGGAACTTAGTAAATAAGATATAAGTAGAGTTATAAGTACCCTAAAAGGAGTTATCCCAACTATAACCCTACTTATAAACGACTTACTAAATCCCCTGCCCCTCCAAGTACATTCTACCCTACAGGTACTTAGGACCTTTTGAGACTCGGGCCCGTAGGTGCACCCTGTAAGCCATAGAGGCCCCTGAGCCCCTCTCAAGTAACCAGGGAGCAAAAAGGTATAAACGCGTATTCCACCATGGTTCCCTGTAACTTTAAGTAACAGGTCCCAACAGAAGTATTAAAGCATGGTACTCCCTTAATAGAGGGGCCTAAGTTAAGTAGAGTATAATGGCCCTCAAAACCCGATTCTAATTATTAGGGCCCTTATTAAAGTATGGTAAGCCCACTATACCCTTTTGGGCTTGCTGAGCAAGACCCCCTCGGGCCGCGACACCGTGCCTCGCGCCCAACCAGCGCTGAAGGCAGCCGCGTGTGATCCGGGGTCCTAAATAGGGCCCCGAAAAAGAACATAAGCAACAAGAATAACAGGGATATCCCATATACACCCCCTGATAAGGAAGGCCACTACGGTAGGGATATCCCCACGAAGTGTTTATGCTTGTGTTCTTTTATGGTCCTGAAGCCACCGCGGGGTTTGGGATGCGGGGGCGGAAGAGCCCCGAGGGCCCAGGATTCACAGGATTTGGGAGTTTCCGAAAATAGGATGGCCGAAGAAAAGTACGCTAGATATTAGGAAAATTAGTATAAGGACCCCAACAGACGGTATCCTTAATTTTCGGAAACTCACGTTTAAGGTTTAGGGCTTAGGGCAATGCCTATCAGCATCCAAGTGGGCCTTCGTGGGGCTGCATTTCGACTGAGCAGCGGTCCAGGTTTCAGGTTTAGGGTTTAGGGTTTAGGGTTTAGGGTTCCAAAAAGATACTATGATGTAAACCACTGATAAGCCCCGTTGAAAGGACCCTAATACTTGGATCCCCTTTCCTAATCTCTTTTCAGGTACGGGGCCCTAAACTACATTCGTGCTCATAGAGTGTCTTTGGGACGTGCATACCCTGCCCCAGGAAGCTTAAACCCTAAACTCCCAAAACCCCTAAACCCTCAACCCCTAAACCCCTAAACCTATTAGCCCTAAACCCTAAGCCCCCAAAACCCTAAACCCCTAAACCCTGAACCCCTAAACCCTAAACCGTTCCTAGCAGAAGCCGTGAGGCCTTCGTCTGCGTCCAGGTCCACTGCAAGAACTTCCGAGCCCTCCTGCACCTCAAGGAGACCTGCAGAACTCGGGTGTAGGGTTTACTGAAAGGTTCATGGGACTTAGTAACTATGGTTATACATGAGGTAAACAAAACTTATAAATGGATATAACCCCAGTTAGGGTACTTATAACTGTACTTACTAAGTCCCCTGATCCTTTAAGTAGGGTTTGGGGCTATATGGGAGTTTCCGAAAGCACACTAAATCGTAGGATCCTTGTCATAAGGACCCCCCAGAGAAGGGTTTGGGGTTTGGGGTTCCTACTTGTCGGGTATCATGGGGAACTAAAGGTTAACCTTCTCGGTTAAATAGGGACTATATAATATAGGGACTATACTACCAAAAAAGGTTAAAGGTTGCCTACTCTACTACTAGGGGCCATATAGCGAGACGCTCCAACGCCTAAGACACCAGGCCACCAACAAAAAGGAACTACGTGGGAAGGCATCAGTCGGAGTTTTGCTGCTCAGGGCTTCGGGCGTTAGGATGTCGGGTTTCACGGCATCAGGAATCCAGACCACAGCCCTGTTGGTTGGTTGATTGGTTGGTTGGCTGAATGAACCCCTAAACCCTAACGCCATGCACCCAAAACCCCACTGTCGATCTTGATCTGTGCCCTGAGCTCGAAAGGTCTGTTGCTTCTCTCGATTTCGGGTGTTCCGATTGATATTAAGCTGGCTTAATACATATAAAGGCCTTCATACTCACCTATACTTTTTCGAGGGTTCCTTAATATGGTTATGGCATAATGGGCCACAAAACCCAACTCTAATTAATAAGGCCCCTGTATCATAGTACCCTTATTAGAGCCCTTTTAAAGGAACCCTTATATAACTACTAAGGCCCCTATAAGGCCTCACACTGACACTCGTGTCCTTACTTCGGGGCAGGGGTCTCCGTTGGTGCTGCGGGTTTGTTTAGGGTTTAGGGTTTATAGGGTTTAGGGACCTTGAGGTGTGTTGATTGATGTGGGGGTTGCCGAAAATAGACGCCAAGATAGTACCCTAAATAGTAGGATCCTTATTATAAGGACCCCAAAATCAGGTACCCCTAATATTCGGAAACTCGCATGTGGACCCTGACTGACTCACTTCTTTACCGGCCTTAATGTTGGGATTCCGACCATAGTCCATACTAAGATCTCATGGTGTACGTGATGTTTCAAGTTAACATGCGTGGCCCGATGCGCAGCGCATCGTTTTGCACCGCATTCGTTTCATGCAGGAAAACATACAGACCTTTAAACGCATAAGCTCAGAGTGATTGAGCGAAGTTTCTCCTTAGAGGCTGAATATCCCAGCCGACCACAAGTAAACGTTTTGAAGCTTTCAAGCTTCAATTATGGTAGGGTTATATAAGCCCCAGAAGGTTAAAGGTTACCTACCCAGCAACAAGGTTGTTCTATCACTGAGGCAGGGGCTGCTTTCGGCTGGCAGGCGTGAGGCAATTGCCTAGGTGAGGCGCACGAAACTCAAAGGGTTGCGGAGTTTACTGTGGGTTTAGGGTTTGGGGCTTTAGGGTTTAGGGTTCTAGGAGCAAGTAGAGCATAGAGGGTTAAGGTCTGGGCAGCACTGCTACAGGACTGTATGCTTCAGTATGTTGGAGGCGACACTCACGCTTCTTGCTAGGGTCTTGATGACAACATCGAGACACGGTGTCTGAACACGAGGCTTCAACGAAGCTGAAACTCCTCCCATCTGTGACACCATCATGTTGCGTGCACTCTTGAGCAGATCCCAAAGGGTCCTACCTGTATGGTAGAATGTAGGGTTTCCATATTAGGAATGACAACTATGATTTGGGGAAGTATCCCTCATAACAGTAACTAGGGCCCTTTGGGATGGCAGCGCTATTCGAGTCTTCGGCTTCTGCAGAACGCTTGTTTTTGGGCTTCAGGAGCCCCCGTAGAGGTTTAGGTGTAAATTGTACGGCTTAAGGTTCACGCAAGGCTTCACAGATGGTTTCCAGTAGCCACACCGGGGATGTAAGTGGTAGTTCTAGATCTATAGACCTCTATCTCAAGGCTTTTCGACTTTCAAGGCTTAGAGCTTCGGATAAGGACGGGGCCCGACGGGTTGCCTCTCCTCGGATGGCGAGCAGCATCGTGGATCCCACCTCGACTGAGGACAAGAACAAAATATAGACGGTTTACCCTAAGGCTCGTAAGAGGGTCTTGGGCTTTCTCGGGGAGGGTTTCGGCTTTGGGGGCTGGGGGTTTGAGATCTCACTACGAGGGTCCAGGAGCGTTAGGGTAATCATTAGAGTAGTATAAGGGCGTTAATAATTGGAATAGGGTTTTGGGGCATGTCATACCACCCAGAATAGTAGTGGCAATTATTGAGGCCCCGAAACTAAATTTATAATAGTAGGCCTTATAGACCCCTTTAAAGAAACCCTACACCCCTAACCTGTCTACCGTTTAATCATTAAACTAATTATCCTGCAAGGCTGGGTCAGGTAAATCAGGGCTGTACTGAGCGCCGTGAGGTCGGGGCCTTAATCATTGGTACCCAGAGACTCCAATATCCCTTAATTGAGGAATATGCCCTACAATTATAGTAGGATCCCTAATATGAATCGAGGTATATTCTCTACTTAAGGGATATTGGAGTCTCTGGGTAGCTGGTTTTGGGGTATAGTGTAATACAAAATGCCTGTATTACGACACCCTAAGAACTAAGATTGCTGACTTGTGAGGCCGCTTTACTGCGGAGGAGGATCCTTTACCGCCTAAATAAATACCAATATTTTTCGTTGGGGTTGCTATAATAACTTCACTATTATAGCAACATACCAAAAAATGGAAACTTCCTTATTGTCGAAGCCTAGGCTACAGGTTTTGCAGCTTTGGCGATTACGAGCACGGAGAGACAGAGAGAGAGAGAGACTCAGACAGAGATAAAGATGGAGACAGTAGCGAAGACAGAGACAGAGGGAGAGAGTGGGAGACAGAGAGACAGCAAACCTTTCGCTCAACGCTTTAGGACCAGGACAAGTTGTGCCCTTATTTAACCAAGCCCTTACACACCCTGGACGCCTAAACCCTGACGAACCCATAAACGCTCATGTCTACCCTAAACCCTTAAACATCCTACGCCCAATAGCCGTAACAACATAGAACTCGCACCACCCTGGACCCCTAAGCCCTTATGAACCCTAAATGCTTATGAATATCCCAAGCGTCCGATAGCCCCTCCCCAAAAAATAGAAATCTACACAGCTGCCCGCCATGAGGCACAGTGCAGAGGCCGGCAGGGCAGCAACTCGCAGTCAGTCGAGAGAAGGTACCCCGGCCTCTGCAGAGTCTCGGATTTCCCCATAAGTTAGAATAGGGTTTTGGGACCCCCTTATACTATAATTAGAATCAGGAACCCCCCAAAAAAAGATAATTGTTAAGGCCCCTATATGAGTCTCCTGTAGTTCCTTCTTTGATACCTCACAGCAGCCTAAACACATAGTTGGTTCACCATGGCTAAACCAAACAAGGTTAGGGATATCCCATATAAACCCCCTCATAATGAAGCCCAACAAGGTAGGATACCCCTACAAAAATGCCAATGCTTATATGCTTTTTGGCTCCCTAAATCGCAACCCAAACCCAGGCATCACGCAACGAAACAGCAGCCTTCGACAAGCTGCGCCAGCTAGACACGAAGCCCCTACACCCCGGGACTGGCCCTACGGTGCTTAATTTGTTAATTGAGGCGGTGAGCACCTATAAACAGAGTTGATATGTACATCTATGTATGTGTATATATATATATAACTATAATGCTATTCAGAAGTAGGGGTGGAGAAGTCATGTCGTAAATTAACTGTGGCCTTGTTAGCACCAAAGCATTCAGAGCTCTATACTAAGCTTACCTGCCCAGTATCCCAACTAAAACTACCTTTCGGGCTTCTGGATTTTACAATGTAAGGATTAATTGAAACGGCTGAAGGTCACCTACTCTACTACTAGGTTACTAGGTAGTGATAAACAGAGTTACCCTACATTGCTAGGTACTCACACGCTGCTTTCAGCGTGGATCATACTACAGGCACCCCCTCCCTCCAAAAGAAAAAACAGAATTATAAAGGCAACCTGCTCATTCGACTTGCAGCGGAAGGCATACTTTCAGGGTCTCATGCCAAAAACTACTAAGGCCCCTATAGCAAGCATGGTACATTTTCTACTGCATCCAAGGTGCAGTGGTACACCGTGTGAACCAGACCTGCAGGAACTGCGGCATGTGCAGAAGGTGACACGGCTTAGTTTGGGGTTTAGAGGGTCGAACGTAGGAGCCTTAACAGTTAGAATAGGGCTTTGGGGGATATTATACTATACTATTCATAATCGGGAAACCCAAAATACTATAGATAACTATTTAGGCCCATATAGTAGGAGATCTAGTGTTCCTATATCAAGAATGAAAGCACAAGGATTTTTAGACATCACTCGAGGGTGATGATATCTTCTCTTGTAAGTGCACCTGGAGTTCCTGATTATAACGATACATAATCCACCCCCAGCACGCCTTTCTAACCCCCCCTCCCCCTAGTTGGAAGAAATCCTTCCGCCCCCCTCAAAAAAAACAAAAAACCTTGTAAACAAATATCAGAGCCAATCACCCTGCTAGTCTCTGGGCCCCGCGCTCTAACAAAGCATGGGCCATCTTCGAGCCCACGACGATGAACAAAGGCGACAGGAGCAAACCAGGTGCCGTGACCTGTCTCGAGCATTTTCGCTTTATTTTGGTTAACATCCCTAGTAACCTTAGACCTTCAACTCAGTCATCCTGAAACCCTAAGCCCAGTAATCCTAAAACCCGAAGTTCCGACACCCGGTTGCCCCGGAACCGAGAACCCTAGCTTTCTCGGAGCAGCGCTTGCCCTGAAGCATGTAGAGCAAACGCTTTCGGAGTTAGCAAGCACTTCCTCTTACTTGTCCAATCGCCTAGCCAATCGAAAAGTTGACCTTTGAGATCTTTTAGGGATTCCAATGCCACAGAAAGGCTAGACGCTTAAGGGTTGCCTGCTCTTCTGCTGCTGGCACTGCCTCAGGTTCGGCCGTCTCCCCTCAGGGCTTGGGTTTAGGGTTTAGGTTTGGGGTTTAAGGCTTGGGTTCAAACTATTCAAGTGGCCGAGGCTACTATCACAGTACCGCAGACTCTAACACAATGCTTCCTACTCCCGGTGCGCAGACAAGACGCTCCACTATTGAATCGACAGGAGCACGGCGGTGTCAGCATAAAATGGTGCAGCAAGGGCAGGATTAGAAGAACAGGATTTCGGAAGACAGACAAACGCTGTTTCCAAGTTTCCATTGAGCCTGCCGAACCGAACCCTGAACAACTGTCTGGATTGTGGTTCGCTTGCTTGCGCTTCCTTATCATTAGGACCTCAAATATGAACCTGCTTAAACCAAAAAAGGAACTACAACGGCGCGCTGAGCGTGGGCAGCACCCACACTGTAGCTGGACGAGACCCTAAGCCATAAACCCCGAACCCAAAACCTTTATGCACCCCTTAAACCCTAAACCCTTCTGGACCCCCTGATTGATTCCTTTAAGGGAGCCCTCCGTAGACCCCCTATACTACCCTATACTACCCTTGGCAATCTATTTCAGCCCAAAAACCTTAAACCCGCAACCCCAAACCCCGAAACTGTATAGATCCCTTATATCCCTTATGCTGCCCTTATAGGTAGGCAGTTTTATCTGCCTTCAGGTCGTCGATGCAGACCACCACCGGGCAAAGAAGGGTTTGGGCCTGGCCTCAGGGCGACCAAGGGCAAAGGCTTTGGGGCTTAGGGTTTGATATTATGTATAGGGTTTAGGGTTTAGGGTCTCGGCTCGGGCCCCAAATAACCTACATTTTTAAGGACCTATACTAGATCCAAGAGTAACGTAGGAATAAAAAGGGTGCCCTTTTTGGTTTAAACAGGCTTAAAAGGGAACCTCAACCCTAAAAAAGTGAATAACGGCCTACTCTAGGTCTCAGCACACAAGGAAATCATAATAAGGAACCCTAAAAAGCATGGTCTTTAGAGGGTCCAGGTAGGGTTTGGGATCAGAACCCTATATTATGATCTAGAAGGCTTAAGGTTTAGGGTCGAGGATAACACTTTTATCTTGCTTACAGGGTTTAACACTTTTTGAGCACCTTTTCCGCCTGCTTACCCTGTCCAAGCTAACGGAAGGCCACGGGGCCAGGCGAACACCACACCATCTGATTCTTGGGGCTCGAACCTTCCCTGCTCTGTGACATGCTGGATCTCGATCATCTCCCTCACCGCACTCCCATGTGTAGTGTCTCCTGGACTTGGGCAAGCGTCACATGTCCTGCCACCCATTGCTCATAGTGGCCTGAAACTGCTGCATGCTGAGGTTGGTGATCTGGTAGCTCACGCAAGGCTCCGACGACCCTGTGCCATCCAACCCAGCTTCCTCGGCAACAGACCCTGCAACCCCCGGCAACCCCTCTGACAGGCCATCATTGGAGCCAGAAGCTCCATGCTCGTCCAAGTGTGTGATCCCAGGCGGACCGTGACATGCGGCCAATGCAGGCACCGGGACCGCATGCACAGTCTCAACATCCGAATCTGTAAGAGCACCACTCCCTGGCTGGGATTAAGATTTTTTAACTTTAGTTTCATCTCCATTTCGAAGCGGAGCCGCCGCTGCCCAGGTGCGAGGAAAACGTATGTGCAGGGTCGCGCTCTTTAGCGGATCCAAAAGCGGACCGGCTGTCGGCTGCGGTAGTGCTCCGTGGGATCATCGCGCCACGTGTCGAAACGTCCGTCTCTCCTGTCGCCGCTGTAAGGAGACTCTCGCTCGCCGTGTTTGCTGACCGTGTCCCCGTAACCAGGGAGAGTAGCATCTGCCCTTCAGTCACCGGCTGTCGGCTTCAGCGATAGGAGGTTGTAGAGTCTGCAGCTCCAACATCGATTGAGGCCGTGTCTCAAATCAAGTTCCCTTGAAAAACGAAAGTCAGAATCTGCAGAATGCGAAGAGATTCTGACGAGCCAGTTCCTTTCAACTGCTGACGCCAAGGGACTGTCTGCGCGGGAGAAATTGGTAAATTGGAAACAAGTTAGATCAAACATCAAGCGATGCAAAGGCAACAGCACTGTGGTGCTGACGAGGCATGTCCGCTGCCGCCACTGCGTTGAGAAGGCTCACCAACTCGCACAAGCACCTTCCGCTGTGTCCCTCTCGCCCTCCCGCAAGTAACTGGTGGTGTCAAGCTTTCATCCTCTTGTAGTTTGCTGTCCAGCGGTTCAACAAACCATGTACAAGCACCTCGCAGACTGCTTCTTCATCGAAGTCATGTACCGGTCTTTCCATGAGTGTTGGGAATATTTGCGAAGTCAGCTGTGTAGATTCCCCTCAGCAACACGAAAGCGCGCAAATGCAGTCGGTCTCGCATGTCGCTGCTGTGAGGAGCCGCGCGTTCGTTCGCCAGCCTTGCGGGCCGTGTCTCCTGCAAAAGGGACAACAGCATCTTTCCCGCCTCCTGCACGCTGCCAGTCGTCGCGGGATCGCTATCCCCGAGCTCCCGATGCACTTCCTCTTCCGTGGGAAAGCCTTCACTATCCTGGAGCTCCCTCTGCACTTCGAAGGATCGCCAGTCGAGCGCGGGATCGCTGTTCCCGAGATCTCGCTGCATTCGTTTGTTGGAAGGATCGCTCGTCAGTAGCGACGGAAGTGCGCTCACCTGAGCCTGAGCAGTCAGGAGCTGAGGCGCTCACGTTGTGATGGGGTAAATCTGATCAACGTTGCGGCAGATGGGTGGCTTTGCACCACACGGGGGAGCAGCTGGCATTTGCGAACCGTGGTTGCAGCCGCACCGGAAGGTCCAGTGATCGTGGTTCCCAGGTACGATGGCACACCCATCTTGAACCAAAGGCTGCCTAGTCCAAGTCTGCACGACCACCAAGCTTGATCTCGGAACGGACGAGTGCTGTGCTTGAGCCAGGGGACCCTAATGTAATACCCTAAATAATAGGATCCTGATCCCCAAAATGAGGTATCCGAATTTTCGGAAACTCCCCCGCTGATGCCGCATCCGTTGAGGCTCTTGCCAAAGGGCTCGGGCGCGACTGAGGGATGCAATGCCTCGCCAAAAGGTTCAGGGTTTATGGGGTTTAGGAGTTTAATTTAGGGGCTTGGTTTTTAGGGGTTTAGGGATTTAGGGTGTAGGGTTTGGGGTTTAATGGTTTAATTTAGGGGCTTTTGGTTTAAGGGGCTTAGGGATGAGGGATTCTCGCAGCTTTCCTGTTTTCAAGAACGATGGCTGCGCAACCCGTCGTATGGTCGCCGTTTTGTCACGATAACGACACCACAGTCTGTGACAGCTGACCTAGACCTCTGGGAGGATCTAGAAAGTAGATCCCCTATTTCGGGGCCCTTGTACTACTACAGGTACTTTATGGGAACCCCCATTAAGGGATCTACTTTCTGGATTCTCCCGGGGGTCTGGGGAGTATCATTTCTTTCGGAACAGAGACTTTCTTGCATGCTTTTGTTTGCGTTGGAAGCTGGAGGACATTCAACCTGGAAGGTTACCGCCGGCAAGCTAGTCGCGTATGTCCTAGGGGATTTAAAGGTTGAGCTTTGGGCTTGAGCTTATATCGGGATTATCGTTTCCCCACATCTTTAAAGGTTACTTTTTCTATTGCTAAGTTGGGCTACCGGCTACAGTCTCGCTGGCAACGCTGCCGTGGGAGAAAAAGCAATCGTGAATAGCTAAACCAGATTATCAGACTCTTACCCTGGGGCTTTACGGGCGCGCATCAGAAGGCTTTTGGTCCTAACGACCATACCTTACGAGACTTTGTCGTCTCTTTTGAGCCTCAGGATTACTGACACGATGAATAGCAGTTTTGACCGTTTCGGCATCTGAGCCACTGCAATCCTGGCAGTGAGAAGGTGTAAGTCTTCTTCTAGGAATGATGTTTCATTGGTACGGAAGCTACACCCCTGATTCAAGCCCACAAAAAGCTAATCTTCTAAATCCGAGAAATCCAAACCCGAGACCTCTGAATCCCAAGCCCCAATCCCTCAACACCACGAACCTCCTCCCTCCCCCCAAGTCTCTCGTTGAAGTCTCTCCCCCAATCTTACAAGCCCCACTAGGTTCCTGAGTAGCCCCTTTATTATAAGGGCACCCTTTTTGCTACTTTTCGATTTGTAATAAGAGGACCCTAAAATACACAATGCAAACACAAAATAGGGTACTTGTCAGGAACTTAGTAGACCCTAAACCCTTATACATCTCTTACAGAAACCTTTAAGGATCCCGTATAGAACCCTTTAACCTACTTGTCGGGTATCATGGGAAACTAAAGGTTAACCTGTTTGGTTATATAGGGATTATATTGGGACTATATTACCCAAAAAAGGTTAAAGCGCGACGTGGAATAAGCTGCGTCCCCAGCGAAAGGCGTGAGACGAGCTTCGCAAAAAAGGTTAAAGGTTACCTACTCGACTACTAGGCTTTAATAAGGAACCCTTAAACTAAAAAGAACAGGCAAGGGAGGATCCCAGCTGAAGGCCTCACGCATGCGAAGCCTCTGTGGCAAGTATGCTGCGCTCAGCGTGCAGGCGAAAGCTGAGATGATCCCTGGCACATCCGGTTTAGGGTTTAGGGTTTAGGGTGTCGAGCTTCCTAAGCCAACCTCACTAAGATCTTTATGTAAGCACCTCCCCCCCAATTAAGAAAAACAAACACATATGTATACATATATATATATATATGTACATGAAGTGCCACGAATTTTGTGAACACCCCCCAGATCTCTCTCGTGAAGGGCGATGGAGATCGGCCGGAGACTGCTTGAGCGTGACATGTGGGTGGTGGTCAAAATTAGGGTTTAGGGTTTAGGGCTTAGGGTTTCCGGTTTAGGGTTTAGGCCCTTTTTGGGTCTATATAAGGATACGGCACCTAATATTTAGGGTACCCAAAAAAGGGCCACAACTTTGTCAACCGCCCATGTGTAGACGGAGACGGCACTGAAACAGTGTCGAATCAGCCGGAAGTTAGGCAGGAAACTGAGGATACCTTGATCCTGATTATTGGATTTTTCAGGTTTCTATGCTATAATAATAGATATGCGAAGGAGGCCGAAGAAAAGCTTGAACCCTAAACCCCAGCATTATTGAGTATTGTGGGCCCCTATGTGAGTCGAATAATAGGTTCATGCTCAGGAGCCTCACTCAAGCTACCATAGTGTCCTATACTTGTGGGGTATCCTGGGGAACTAAAGGTTAACCTTTTTGGTTATATAGGGATTATACAGAGATTATACTACCCCCAAAAAGTTACAGGTAACCTACTCGACTACTAGGATGTAGGGTTCCTGTACGGGCTCCCTTAAGGGCTTCTTCGGGTTCAGGAACTTAAGCTTGAACTACAAGAATTCAGGGATCTATAGTACTATAGTAAAAAAAGGGCCTCCTTAGTATCGTAACTTGAACTACATTTCCTAACACGAACTCCCAATATCAAGCCCGGCGCACTTTGCAATGAGATCAGCAGGTTGAAAGGCCATCGGCGTCCTGGGCTGGAGAGGCGGATTAATGGTCATCCATGCAAAGCAAGCTAGCGGTCTCGAAGTCCTTTGAAAGGGAGTTCCTGTAAGGGCTACGATAGAGGTTCTGTAAATACCGGCTCTACGATATAGGGGCCTGGTCTATGAGGGTCTCTTTGATAATTTTCAGACTTTGCTTCTACCTGTTGTCGTTCCACTGAGGGCGCACAGGCTTGGGATTCCGGGTTCCTTGGGGTTCCTCATTATAGACATGCATGAACTAAAGCAGCCCAAACTCTGCTCTAATTGTTAAGGCCCCTCGATCACAGAGCCCCTGATTTGGGGTAATCATTACCGTAACCCCCAGTACCCAGTAACCTACCTGTTTAAGGACTTATATAAAGAAGTCATATTAGGGATCCCTAAAAAAGTAGGCTCCTTAGAGCCTTAGGGTCCAGGTACTGTATATAATGAGGAAATCTAACTAATCAAGTTTTCATAGGGGGATCTAGGGAGCTTTCGGTACGGTACAGTCTAGTCATTGTCCTCTGGGCTGCAGATGTTGCTCTCTACGTCGATGTCGATGCTCTGGATGGGCGCATCAATCGTGTCGCTTCCCGCAATTCTTATATAGCGGCCTGAATGGCCAGGATCTGCGGTATGTGATACCATAGCAGCATCCCGAACGATGAGAGGCTGTTCTTACTATTGCTTAGTATGCTGGACCCTAAACCCTCAACCAGGCTTTCGACCCTCTTGATCAGCCCTCTTTATCTTCATCTGGGTGGTTGTCAAATTAGGGGTCCCTCATATACAGTAGTACTGCACCTAATATTTAGGGTACCCAAAAAGGGACCCTAATTTTGACAACTACCCTTATATCCCTTGTACTGCCCTTATAGGTAAGCTATTGAGTTATAAGTAAGGTAGCTACAGTTATCAGTACTTATAACCCCAATTAAGGTACACATAACCCTGCTTACTAAGTCCCATGTTCCTCCAAGTCTTTATATCCATCATCTGTCTGCGATGGAGCCGGCAGGAGCAGGGAGCTCCGAAGATGAGAAAAGGACACGGATGCCCAGTAACCTAGGAATAGAAAGGGCTCCCTTATTCACATTATTGATATTGGGTAACTTTATAACTAAAACAGGCCCCTGGGGTAGAATTCTGTACTTATATTAGGATGCCCAGTAACCTAGGAATAAAAAGATAGAACCCCACAGTACCCTTTTAAAGGTTTCCTTACACTCTCAGCGGTTCCTACCAGTGTTCCTGTAAGGCTTCCCCAGTAGAGGCAGAGGGACTCTTTGGCTAGGATGCCCAGTAACCTAGGAATAAAAAGGGCTCCCTTATTGGTACTTGGAGGGTCGGGGGACTTAGTAACTGGTTATTTTAGGGACTTATAAGTACCATAACCCCAATTAGGGTCCCTTTTAGGGTACTTATAAGTCTACTTACTACCTACTTACTAAGTCCCCCGACCCTCCAAGTATTGGGTAACTTTATATAAGGAACCTAGGACTACAAAAAGGGGCTAAGGTACCACTGGGCATCCTAGAAGACACGAAGCCCTAACGACAAATCTCAAACCTCCAGGGTTTACCCGGGTGGTTGTCAAAATTAGGGTCCCTGATTTCGGGCACCTTAAATATTAGGTGCCGTATTATAATAATGCCCCAACAAGGTACCATAGTCTTGACAACCACCCACCTGGATCGCGCAAAACCCGCCTTTTGACAGTAGAGCCAGAAAGTTGGAACATCAATATCCTCATGGCCTTAAAGGTAAAGCATAAGGGATCCCAGCATCAATCACCCTCAACCCATGTTCCAACTTTCGGGGGTTCACTAAAGGGCTCCCTAGTATGATTTCCTTATATACAAATCCTTAAAAAGGTAGGTCATCATGATCCCGGAACCTGTAAAGGGAACTCCAGCAAGTTGGAATATGGATTTATGGTAGGATCCCCTATAGTTTACGTTAAAGGGGTTGCGATAATCATCTTCCAACTTTCTGGCTTCTACTGTATAGGGGTGGTTGTCAAAATTAGGTTTCCTTTTTGGGACACCCTAAATATTAGGTGCCGTATGATGGGGACCCAAAAAGGGACCCTCATTTTGACAACCACCCTTTTGGGAGTTTCCGGCTACTGTAACCGCACTCCTAAGCCTTGATCCCTGAACCCGGAGCCCCTAAAAACTGTGACGGTTTAGGGTTTAGGGTTTGGGGTTTAGGTTAGGGTTTAGGGTTTAGGTTAGGGTTTAGGGTTTAGGTTAGGGTTTAGGGTTTAGGGTTTAGGGTTTAGGTTAGGGTTTAGGGTTTAGGTTAGGGTTTAGGGTTTAGGTTAGGGTTTAGGGTTTAGGGTTTAGGGTTTAGGTTAGGGTTTAGGGTTTAGGTTAGGGTTTAGGGTTTAGGGTTTAGGGTTTAGGTTAGGGTTTAGGGTTTAGGTTAGGGTTTAGGGTTTAGGGTTTAGGGTTTAGGGTTCAACAGGTGGAATGAAGGTAGGTAGGATTAAAGAGCCCTTGAACTGTTGATGAGATAAATCCTGCAGTACCTTAAGGACCCTAAACTATGGGAATTATGGTATATTCTATGGGTAATGCACGGTTTATATCATCGACCGAAGGACTCTTATTTGGACCTTACCTACCTTCGTCCCAACCTTGGAGCCCTTCATAACTCTAAGAACTCTCATAAACCCTAAACCTTAAACCCTAAACCCTCAACCCTAAACCTTAAACCCTAAAGCCCTTTGCAACCATCAAGAACTCTCCTAAACCCTAAACCCTAGAGGCCTTTGCAACCCCTAAAGAACTCTCAATGCTTCCCAAGGGCCGGCTGTTCCCAAAGGTGGGGCCATGAGGGCCACGGGATGCTTCGGGTCCTGATCGGTTGAGAATCGAACTCCGTAGCTTCCTTTAGGATTCCTTTAAAAGGTTCCTTTCAAGGGCTCTAAGGATCTATAAGGGTACTATGATATAGGGTCTTGATCAGTTGAGAATCGAACTCTGAAGCGAACCCTAATCTAGAGACCTTAATAATTAAAATAGGGGGCTCCCTTTAAACTATAAGGGATCTATAGCAGGGTTCTATACTATAGGGGCCATAATAATTCGAATAGGGTTTCGGGGTATACTGTGTGTACTTCATGCATATTAAGGAACCCCCCAAAAATAGCGCAGGCAATTATTAGGGCCCTTATAGTAGTCTAAGTGAAGTCGTTGTGAACTTGTGCCTCTATTACAGTAATCATGGGCTTCATACGGGTAATGGAGCTTTATAGGGATGAAGGTAGCATAGAACCCTTCAAGGAATCCCATTCGAATCATTCACGCCCCTGTAAGCATTTATGCCGACCCCTGATTAATAAATCCCCTCCGTTGGTAGGAAATACAGTCGGGATGCTAATAATTCGTGATGTTGAAGTTGGCGGGTCCATAAATCAAAGTCTCCAAGTACTATAAAGGCTTCAAACTTATTCAGACCCTTGCATTGATTCTCAAAGCCACGCACGGCTGGACTGGACATGACATGTGTCAAGGCGAAGAAGAGGCACCCTGAAAAGAAATTCAGGATTACCACGGGGATGATGTTTGAATCCATGACAATATGATGATTCTTGCTCGAGTTTGTATTATGTTGGTACTCGTGCTCGTATGAGTACGTTATCCCACTAGAACTGAACGGTACCCCTTCGAAGCTGCCCCCACCCTGTAATAGTGAATTTAAGGATTATATTAAGGCCCTATTATATTCCGATTATACCACTATTACAGGGTAGGGGCCCCTTCTAAACGGTACCCCACATGCGCCATGCAAGCCGAGCTACCGTCTCCCGAACCAGAACACCGCCGCAAGCGCCGGGCAGTTGTCGAGCGTCCAGCAGCGCGAATTCCCCGGTCTCCTTAGGCTTTAGGGTTTAGGGTTTTCACGGTGCCAGTCCTTCTATGTTGAGGGTTGTAGTATCCTGGCCGTGGCAATGGTCGTTGCCGTCGTGTCCGTGTTGGTAATAGTTTCAGTATGAGCAAGAATCTGTCTTCGTCGCAGTCTTCGTCCTATGTCTCAGTACTGGTATGACCACTTGAATTCGCGTCATTACCTGTTATTCTTGATAGTATTTACTATAGAGCTGGCACTGGTACTCGTAAGTATGAGGATTAGTCTGATGATTAGCATTGCTGTTGGTCTTACCATATTCCTACGAGTATTAGAACCGTAGCGGCATTTGACGCATACCTGTAGCAGTAGCAGTAGTATCAGTAGTAGAAGCAACAGTTGTTGTAGTAGTTGTTGTAGATGTAAGTGTAGGTGCTGTTGCTGTTGTTGTTGTCGTTTGTTGCTACTGTGGTTGTAGTTGTGAAAATGGTTCTAAGAGTAGCAGTCATCGTCGTTGTGGTTGTGGTGGTGGCGTTCGTGGCAGTAGTGGTGGCCTTATCTGGTAGTAGTCGTCGTCGTGGTGGTAGCAGTATCAGTAGCAGTAGCCTTTCTCTCAGCCGCAAGCTTAGTGATAATGGTGCTAACTGGTCATGAACGGCGGCCTCTGCAGCTGCAATGAAACCAGTCGTCTCCATGCCCAAGAACAGGGATGCCTGCACATCGCCATGTGCTTTGCTTTGGTTGGTTAAGATATCAATTTTCGAGTATGTGCTTGATACTGCAGGTGACCTTCTTCGAACGATGAAGCACTCAGAAGTTTCAGAAGCAGCTTCCCAAACACAACGACTATGAGGTTTACGGTATAAAGGTATTGAGGGATGTAGCATTGGAGCCTTCATGTCGGCCTTAGTGAATAGAGCGGAGTTTTGTTTGGAGGGAGGGTGTTGGCTATTCTAATGACAGGCAACCCGGAGAAATTTTATTGGTATTTTTCCGGCCCAAATATTGCGCAGTATGATCATTCTGTGGGTCGTGGCATCCGCTGCCGTCGCAACAGCATAGTGCGAAGTAGGAGTTTTCTATTTGCATAAAGCCTCCCAAATCAGGAGTCATAAGGTTTAGGATTTTGAGTAGGGGCAAAGGTGCACTCATAATGAAGACGCCTCTACTTTGGGGCTTGTTTTATGGTTTATAGTACCTGAACCCGTCGAAACCTGTTCAGGGTCTCTCCGCATGTCCCACCCAAATCTAGAGGCCCTAAGTTCCCCCACACGTCTGCCGGAATGGCGGGGGCAGGTCTAGGGTCTTGAGGACTCAGGGTTCAGGGATTTGTGGGGCTTGTGAGGTTTAGGCTTTGAGAAAATTGGAAAAGGATGTTCGGTGTACCTTATGGAAGAACTCTAAGAGGCAACCCTGAGGACAAATGGTGGTGATTATTCAAGCCGCTGCACTACCCTCGCAAAAACCTATAAATCCGCTATAAAATCTCATAACGCACTATTTCCCTTATTATTCAGGCTTCTAATTACAATACATTATATAAATTGAAGCTTAGCGGCTGAGTTCATACGCCCCCCAAAAGTGTACACTTTCAGTTTTACACCACCGGGCCGAAAGTTTCGACATGCAGCTTATGACATACATGTATGTCGCGGAGAGGCGGAGAGCCCCAAGACCCATTTTACGTGGCCAGCGTGGCGGAGTAATTACTTTCCGGGAATAAATTTATACTACTATATAGTTTCCGGCGGAGAGCTTTGCGGGGTTCTGCTAGGATTCTACGGGGGAAAAGGGGTCAACATGTGATGATCTCTCAACTTCATGTTGTATGGCGAACTTTCGTCCTGCGGTAGTGTAGTGGGTAATATTACGTATCCCAAAAAGTGTAAAGTGTATCCACTTAGCAGCTAAGATTATATAAATTGAGGCCTTTAGCAAGGCAAACGGCGATGAGAGCAGTCGAACAGAATCCCCCTGACGAAGCCGAGTTTCCTGCGCAGCAAACATCTCTGTTTTGGCTTATTTTTTTGTGTTTTTGGAGGGCTTTGGAGCTTTGTTTTGAACTTTCACAATCTAGGAGGTGCTTTTAAAGCCTTTGAAAAATATTAGCAGGTAAGATCCTCTTAAGCCCAATAAGAGCAAATGTAAAATGTCCCAAAGACCTACGTAGCAGTTTTGGTGCTTCGATACGCAGTTTTGAAAATGAGAGCTGTATGATGTTTCAGAGGTCCCTTCCTACCCAGCAATGCAGGTCTTCGGGTGGTAAGTTCCCGTTTAGGGTTTCTTCACCGATTCCGGGCCTTGACGACTATAATAGGGTTTTAGGATGGTTCAGGCATGAACTGCTTCTTGAAGGCTGCTTTCCATACATACCCTAGACTGCCCTGACAATCCAGCGCTCCCAGTCCCTCAACCCCCCAAACCCTAAACCCTAAGCAATAAATCCCAAAACCCCTAGGGATTCCATCATAGTCCTTGCATCGTGAAAGCATAATTAGGTATCCAACAAAAAATCCAGCTCGTTGGGTATCCTCTTCGAATTAATGAGGCCTACTCATTCACCCCCAATGCCAACACAATCCTGATAGAACCCATGAAGGAACTCATATAGAAGGCCAAAGTGGAACCCGTACGCAGCCAAAAAACCGTTCGCGCTGAAGGCCTGTATATTCAGAACCCCTCGATTCCTTAAAGGCATCCAAATAGGACCCAAAAGGACATGAGCAGGAGCGGTTTACAAGGACATCCCTACCTCTTGCTTTAAGATATATGGGATATACGCATCCTAAGTTTGGCTTTCATTGCGTTTTTGGCGTCTCTTTAAGGGATCTATAAGGCCTTCTTTCATGGCTCCTTCAAGGGATTGAGCTTTAAGGTTAAGGCTTTTGGGGGCCCTTGAAGTAGAAGCCAAAATAAATATCAATATCATTCCTCTAAACCCTATTCTACTTATCAAGCAACATCTGAGCATTCTAATTATTAAGGCCCCTGCATCATTGAGCACTTGTAGTTGCCCTTATGAAATCCTTTGAAGGACCTTTGAAAGAAGCCCTGTTCTAATTTTCACCTAGACACCCCCACAAGTAGGTAAAATAGTGACCCAAAACCTATAAATGGCCACTATTCTGCATACTTGGAGGGTCCAGGGTAAGGCCCCTGCATTACCTACCCCCAAACCCCTAAAGCCCTAAACCCCTATACCGTAAAATCCTAAACCATAGTGACCCGTAAACCCTAAACCCTCAACCCTGCAAACCCTCTAAACCTTAACCCCTGAACACTAAACCCTGTAAACCCTCTAAACCTTAAACCCCTGAACCCTAAACCCTATAAACCCTAAACCCTGCATTACCTAAACCCTAATCCCTAAACCTTACACTAAGTCCCATGAACTTTTAATCCAAGGGTGAAAGGAGGGACCCCTAGGTATATACCCTTACTGTAGCTATTATGAGGCCCCTACATTACCTAAACCCTAAACCCTAAACCCTAGAGACCCTACACCCTAAACCCTAAACCCTGCATTACCTAAACCCTAAACCCTAAACCTTAAACCCTAAACCCTGCATTACCTAAACTCTAAACCCTAAACCTCAAACCCTAAACCCTGCATTACCTAGACCCTAAACCTTAAACCCTAAACCCTACATTACCTAAACCCTAAACCCTAAACCCTACCTAAAACCTAAACCCTGCGTTACCTAAACCGACCTCCTTGGGTAGGAGGGCGAGTCCCTTCTCGGGCCGCGAGGCAAGACCTCAGAGGCCCATGGGGGGTTTCAGGGTTTAGGGTTTATAGGGTTTAGGGGGTTTAGGGTTTTAGGTTTTAGGGTTTATAGGTTTAGGGTTTAGGGTTTATAGGGTTTAGGGTTTACCCAGAGGCCCCATAGTAGTTCCTTTTTTGGGAGCTCATATTTCGAACCCTGTAAGGTAATCCCAAAAAGGAACTGCCATGGGGCCTATGGGTAGGGTTTAGGTAGTGAGGATCATGGGACTTAGTAAGTATGGTTTAAGGCTCCTTTTAAGGCTACTAAAGGGTTCTATGATAGGGTTCCTTAAAAGGGATCTATAAAGGTTTTAGACGGAGGATCATGGGACTTAGTAAGCACGTAGGGGCATAAGTACAGTACTTTAAATTGGGGTCGTAAGTAATTATAACTGTAGTTACCGTGCTTATAACCCTACTTACGAAGTCCCGTGATCCTTTAAGTAGGGAGCAGTTTATGTTTCAGGGGTTTAGCGTGTCGAGATTTAGGGTTTAGGGGTTCCGGGTCTAGGGTTTAGGATTTTATGGTTTAGGGCTTGAGTGGTTTGGGGACGAAGACAGGGGCAGCTCCCACAGGAATGTCCCAGAGTCCTTTCAGGTTTGGGGTTTCTTTGGGAGAAGACTCGCGAGGCCATGCTTCTCGCAATGATACCTCGTGCAAAAGCACCTAAACCCCCAAACCCCTACACCCCCATAGCTCTAAACCCTCAACCCCTACACCCCTACACCCCTAAAGCTCTAAGCCCTAAACCCCTAAACCCGGTGACAACACTCAGCCTGGGCTTTGAAGTAACCAGGGAGAAAAAAGTATAGACTTTTTTTTCATAAATTGGTTCCCTTTAAGTACCAGGTCCCAAAAAAATATTAAAGTATGGTACTCCAAAGCCCAGAAACACAGAGGACTGCATGCCAAGCAGCGCAGAAGCACCATTCCAAGGCTTCCTCGCCGCAAGCTTTCTCAAGGCAAAGGCCCGCGATTTCTGCAACCCAAACCCAGAGACGGTTTAGGGTTTAGGGGTTTAGGGTTTAGGGGTTTAGGGGTTTAGGGTTTAGGGCTTAGGGGTTAAGGGGTTTAGGGTTTTAGGGTTTAGGGGTTTAGGGGTTTAGGGGTTTAGGGGTTCAGGGGTCAAGGGTTAAGGGGTTAAGGGGTTGAGGGTTTTAGGGTTTAGGGGTTTAGGGTTTAGGGGTTTAGGGGTTTGGGGTTTAGGGGTTTAGGGTATAGGGGTTTAGGGTTGGGGTTCCGTAACCTAGGAGGTGCATTTAAAGCCTTTGAAAAATGGTAGTAGGTAAGATCCCAAAGCCCTACCGAGCTAATGAAGGAATATACCTTGACACTATAGTAATTAGGAGGCAGGATCCCTAAAATGATCTAAGGCAAAGTCCCTCATTAAAGGATCTAGGAGTCTCTGGGAACCCGGGACCAGATTGAAGTAATATAGGAGCCTTCTGCGCTGGGGCGTAAAGTCCGAAGGACGTGTCCATCCATACAATCATATATATATATATATATATATAAGAGGAGCCGTAACGATTAGAATCGCGCTTCTCTTTGGGTTCATGCTAGTATTGTTTATGATGCAACACCAAACCCTACCTTTCTCCACCGTCCAGGCATGATGCGAAGACAACATGGGAGGTTCCGAAATTAAGGGACCTCAGTACAATACCCGAAATAGTAGGATCCTTATTACAAGGACCCCAATGTAAGGTGCCCCTTTTTTCGGAAACTCCAAACCCTAAACCCTTTGTAGAAGCCCTTATAGATCCCTTTAAGGAACCCTTTAAGAGGGTCCCTTTGAAGGCACACCCATAACTTTCGGAAACTCTAAACCATTATAAAGCCATAGTACCGCTATAGTAGCCCTTTAGAGGAACCCTAAGGTACCCCTAACTTTTGGAAACTCCCAAATAGCCTAAACCCTAAACCCTATAAACCCTCTAAACCTTAGACCCCTAAACCCGAAATAGCCCTAAACCCTAATTCCCAAATAGGATATCCCATATAAACCCCCTTACAATGAAGCCCAACAAGGTGAGGATATCCCCTATTTAAAATGCTTATGCTTATGTGCTTTTTGCGTCCCTCAAAATGAAGGCCTAGTGGTGGAGGCTTCCACGGAGGACGCGAGGAAGAGCTGGCAGAAGGCGTCGTCGGGAAGCTCAGGGCGGCCTCAGGGAAGGAAGGACCCCAATGGAGGGGCCTCACTTAAAGGTTCATGGGGCTAAGTAACTAGGGTTATAATTACGGTAACTATACTTTTAATTAGTTCTAACCCCAGTTAAGGTACTTATAACTGTAGTTACTAAGTCTCATGAACCTCCAAGCAATAGTAATGTAGGAACCTGATTAAGAAACACTGGGCCTGTGACCCCAAAATAGTAGGATTCATACAAGGTACCCTAATACAGGCCCAAGGTTTCTTAATCGGGTTCCAACATTAATCGGAAAAGGGTGTTCAGGTGTACTATAACTGGAACAAAGAACTGCAGGGAACAGTACTATGAACCACTCATGAGGGCCCTGAACTCGGGACTGTGAACGGGCACCATTACATGATGAATGCACGGCGGTTTAGAAGCTTGGGTTCAAAGCTTAGGGTCTAGACTTGAGGGTTTGGGGTTCGTGGTTGCACTAGAGCTCAGGGTTTAGGGTTTACATGGGTGGTTGTCAAAATTAGGGTCCCTTTTTGGGTCCTTAATATAATACGGCACCTAATATTTAAGGTACCCAAAAAGGGCCCCAATTTTTGACAACTACCCACATAAGGATTATGTATGTCTACGTCCTACGTGCTTCTGGTAGTGCCATCCCTATCTTTACATGTAGGCATGCGGCTGATTGGCTGCTCAGCTCGGCAGCTTTGTAATGGGGTCTTGCATGTGTGTGAACAAGTGTGTGCACATGCATTGCAGCCTCACAAACCATCATGCCAGACTATTTCTAGCGACATCAATACCATGATGGACGGCAACAGGCAGTACAGTAGTGCCGCTGATAGAACCAGATACCCGCAAAAGCAGAACCAGGCAGAACACTAAGGCTGATCTATCCGGACGAAACGTTTAGGGGTTTTGGGTTTAGGATTTTAGGGTTTGGGGTTTAGGCGTATACTCTGAGCCTAAGCTGCAAACCTCAAAGAAGATCACGCCTGCATAGCGGCCGCAGCCTTCTCCGCCTCCGGAAGAGGCACGGCGGCCAGAAGGGTTGCCTGGACACCCAAAGGGTTCTATGTACTGTTATGGGGAATACTTCCCTAAGTCATACTGGTAATTCCTAACATGGAAACCCTACATTCTACTATATCGGTACATAGGACCCTTTGGGACGGGAGTAATATAGGGGCCTTATTAACTAGAGTAGGGTTTGGGGGCCCATTATACTATAGTTATAATAAGGAACCTCCACAATGGTATTGGTTGGTTACTATTGAGGCCCCTATATGGGCGTTTTTGGTTTAGGGCCTAGGGTAGAGTTCGGGGCTTTAGAGTGGATTTAGATTGCTTTGTTTGTGTTCTTTTGCTGGGAGGGCCGGAGAAGGGAGCGGAGTTGGGTTTTCATAGGCTTCTGAGAACGTAAGCCTACTTGTCGGGTGTCATGGGGAACTAAAGGTTAACCTTTTTGGTTATATAGGGACTATGTAGGGACTATACTACCCAAAAAGGTTAAAAGGTTACCGACTCGACTACTAGGTAGGGGTTTTGCAGCTTTAGGGCTTATCGGGCCTGAGAATGAAGACGACTACTTGCTGGTCCCTTAGAAGCTGCCCCCACCCTGTAATGGTGACTATAAGGATTATATTAGGGCCCTATTATATTCCAATTATACCATTCTAGTTGGTCCCATTCTAGCTCAGACGGCGAGCTTCGAAACACTACCTTTCCCTTCTGTCCAAGGGTGAAAGCAGGGACCCTTAATAGGGACCCCTAGGTACTTAAGGGATCAAAAAGGGTTCTATAAAGGGTTTAGGGTTTAGGATTCATTTAATAAGGACCCCTAGGTATATATCCTAAATATAGCTATTATATACCCATTATATAGCCCATTATAGGGTAGGGTCCCAATTTAAGGGTCCCTCCTCATGTTTTCCCCTTTCCCTTATGCATTGCGCTAACTTTGGTCCTGGCTGCTACGGTTGTATAGCTGCTGTTGTACCTGCCGTGCATATATATACACACACACACACTCACACGTACTTTCACACATATAAATATATGTATATATATATATATATATATATATATATTGATTCATATACATACGCACACATACACACATACATATCGGATTTCAATCAAAACTGCTGACTACTCCCTGCATCATATTCTCAGTTTCTGCGATTCCACAGCTGAAATTCCCACCAGCATCTCGCAAACCTACACCCTAAATCCTCAGCTGCCATGCTTGTACTACTACAGTATTGGGAACCCTTTGCGGTTTGAACAATCCCCACAACTATTTGTAATTAAACTACAAGGGAAAATGCAAAACCATCCCTAAACCCTGCATGAAAAATGTCCCTAAACCCTACACCAGCAAATCCCAGTTTTTCAGACCAAGACTAAGATTCCCGCCCCTTTAGGCTTTACACAGCGGGGAGGATGACAGCTCTGGCGACCTAAACCCTAAACCTCCAAGGTTTAGGGTTTAGGGGTTTAGGGTTTAGAGATTGGTGTTTAAGGCGTCTTCTTGCCCAGTGGCCGATAGTCCATGCTAAAATGGTGCCACTGCGCCAGGGTTTATGGGTGGCTGCATATTTGGCGTCAAGTCACCTCCTTTGTATGCTGTGTTAGAACTCGCTGAAGCGCGAAGTTTTTTGCACCCGCCTGCTGTGATGAATACAGACAGCCACCCAAACCGGGCAGGAGGGCAGGGGACAAGGGGAACAGAGGCAGAGAAAGGGCAGAGGAGGGCAGGGCAGGAACCCTGAACCCTACCCTAAACCCTAAACTAAACTCAAAACCCTGAATCTAACCCTAAACCTTAATCTACACCCTACACTTAAACCTTAATTAAACACGACCCTTACACTCAGCCCTAAACGCCAAGCTCTAAATTTCAACTTTTAATCGGGTTTCGCCGGGCCTCAAGAGCCCTGGGCTCGTGGGCTGGTGGGAAGACAGCGAACAACCTCGGAGGCCAGGGATTTGTTGGTGGTATTCGCGTTTTTTGTGTGGTTTGACTTTGGGGATTGATGTGTTTTTTTGAGGGTCTTTCAGGGTGCTCTGAGTTTTGGATGTGGTTTGAGAGGGTTTTAGCGTCTTTTGGGTATAGAATTTGCTTTGTTTCGGTATATTATACCATAATTGGTGACTAGGGACTGAAACCAAGCTGGGAACGGCACAGGGTTTTAAAAGCTTTAAGAATGCCATGAGGGTCACAGCGGGCAGGCCTGCCATCAGCAAACTGATGACAAGCGCTGCCGGCTTCCAGTGCGGACTAGTACTAGTAGTACTAGTAGTAGTAGCAGTAGTAGCAGTAGTAGCAGTAGTAGCAGTAGTAGCAGTAGTAGCAGTAGTAGCAGTAGTAGTAGCAGTAGTAGCAGTAGTAGTAGCAGTAGTAGTAGCAGCAGTAGTAGCAGTAGTAGCAGTAGCCGTGGCCGTAGCATGTTTGATTGCAACGACTGCTCTTGCGACTGCATGGTGCTGCACTCATGTGTTCATATTTCGATCAAAAAAGTACTTGTGATATCGTGTCTCTTGAAATTCACGGTGCCGCGAGGCTTGGCTTTCGTGCTGCACCCATGCCCTAAGCACTTGAGTTGACTTCCTGTAAACTCTTTGGTTCCAAAACGTCTTGGTTCACCAGCTGCTGTTTTCTGTACTCTAATGCACCCGAACATTAAAGAGCACTGCTTCGTTGCCTTGGTTCGGATATGCAGTCTACCGAACAACAACACTAGCATGTCTGAACTAAAGCGCTCTGCAATTCAAAATCTCTGCTTGGGGGTTCATGGACAGTAATAAGTACCCTAACTGGGGGTATATCCAATTATAAATATAGTTAGCTTTTTTTATAACCACATAGTTACTAAGTCGCATGAACCTTTAAGTGGTCGTGCCCTGGCCTTACTGAGCGAAGGGCTCTGTGGTGGCGACCAACTCTGGGTCCATCACCGCGCCTCAGTGTGAGCCACGACCATCCTCTGATGAGCATCAAAACCGATGCTAAAACCCTAACAATGTGTCCTGTAAACCCTCAACCCTAATTAAACCCTAAACCCTAGACCCTAAACCCTACTAAACCCTGAAGCTCCTTTAAACCCGAAAGCCCCATGGGAGCGATTGATACTAGGGGGCTCCAGCCGCCGCAGCCTCGGAGCTCTAAGGCAGCATTCCGCTACCCAAAGAGCCCAATACCCCTTAATTAAGCAATATACCTTAAAGTATTATAGGAGCCCTAATATGATTTAAGGTATATTCCTTAATTAAGGGGTATTGGAGTCTCTGGGAAAACGGAGTCACATATTATCTCTCGCACTTGGAGCAGGGTTTCCTTTAATAGCTCTGTCTTTAAAGGCTTCTGAAGGGATTTCTCAAGCTTTAGACAAAAAGGGTTCTGAAGGGCTTTCTCAGGTTTTTATACGACCTGAACTGTTCAGGTTCCTCTGCAAGCCCGCAATAATTTAGGGTACCCTGTTTCCTGCTGTCAAACTTCAATGAAAAGCGCTAAATGAAAAGCCCTGGTCATAGATCGCGATAATCCAAACCTGAACAATTACGAAGAATGATCCTGAAGAGTCCTGTCTTTGTACTTTATACAATCCCAAAAAACTACTCTCTTGATTAAGGCTCCTACATTACACCTGTCTTTCGTATGAGTCTCAAAAAGCTGGAGACCACTACTAACAAACTCAACCTACACGATCCAAGCACGCTGGCCCTGAGCAAGCACCAGTTACAGAAAACCCCCAACTGAGGTCGACGGTAGAGGGCCCAGAGACTAGTTTAAAGTGTATTCCTGAATTAAGTGATGTTGGAGTCTATAGGGGGCGCATGGAATTGAACCATAAACCGGCACTCGGAAAGCCTGATGTTTATGGTATAGGCTTATCATGTAACCTCAAGGCGCACGAACATAGGCGCTCCATGATAATCAGAAGAGGGCTGTTCGGCCTCGAGGTAACTTGGTTATATATGGGTGGTTGTCAAAAACAGGGTCCCTTTTTGGTTCCTTATTGTAGTACGGCACCTAATATTTAGGGCACCCAAAAAGGGCCCCTAATTTTGACAACCACCCATATGACTTGTAATAACTACAAGAATGCTGCTACTATTTATTCCGACCTCTATCTTATTGGCCTAACCGCGATGTACTGAACACCCTACGGTCCGAATCACTACCAAGCTGCAAGACTCAACACATCCCCAACCCTCCATGCTTGCACCTTCCTCAAGACATGAAAATCCTGAACTCCTCACCCAATGGGCTACTGATAATAGCGACTTGCCCTAAAGGGTACTACAGGGTTTAGGGTTCCTTTTGAAGGATTCTGGGGTTCTTTAGGGTTCCAATTAAGGATACTGGGGGGTTTAGGGTTCCTTTAAAGGATACTGGGGCGTTTAGGGTTCCCTGAGGGTCCATCTCCGCCGCTGGAGGCTCCCAGCTTCGGTGGTACACGCGAGGCGAAGCTAAAACCGAATGATTTGACAGGTCAGCTAAGTTCCTGAGTAGCCCCTTTACAATAAGGGTACCCTTTTTCGTACTATTCGGTTTTTATAAGGGGACCCCAAAAGGAAACATCAAATGAAAAGAGCAAAAGGGTACTACTCAGGAACCTAGTCAGTTTACCGAGTGATTTTGACAGGTCAGTTTTCGTAGTTCGTGTCTATTTCACAGCCTCATGGAGCCTATGATGCACTACGAAATCTGATGCCAACTGCATGAAGTGCTTTTTCGGAGAAGATCTCGGTGGAGGCGTGAGGAATATGCCACGGCTGTATGGTTCCGGTCTGTCTTAAAAAGCCTAACAAAAACCTAACAAAGACTCGTCTGCAGTTCATAGAAGAAAAGAAACCATGAACACACCCTGAAGCCCTAAACCCCTAAATCCCCTAAAACAGGTGCCTCAACAATTAGAATAGGGACTTGGGGCCCATTATACTACAATTATAACAAGGAACCCCCCAAAATAGTATTGGTAAGTATTCCTACTTGTCGGGTATCATGGGAAACTAAAGGTTAACTTTTTTGGTTATGGGGATTATATGTGGACTATACTACCCAAAAAAGGGTTAAAGGTTACCTACTCGACTACTAGGCACTACTGCCACTGCGACTACGACTACGACGACTACTAGTATAATGCACTACGATTATCATAGGGAACCCCCAACATAGTAGTAGGGATCTATGGGGCTTAGGGTTACTACTGTTATAATGGGGAACCCCCAACATAGTCTTGGTAGGTATTTTTCGGCCCCTATATTAAAGTCAACAGTTGGAATAGGGTTTTGGGGCCCATGATACTACAATCATAATAAGGAACCCCAAAAATAGTATTGGCAATTCTTATTTATTAGGCCCCTATTTTTAAAAGTCGTGAGGTGCCGGCATAGCTCTGCCGCTTTCGCCGCGGAGCGCCTCAGAAACCTCGAAAAGGACGCAACTTTTGGGGTTTCGGAGCGCCCTTGTTCTGCGAAGTCTGTGAACAAACCAATCCCTACCTTCACCCTACATAAACCTACCTTTTGAGAGTTCCTTATTGTGATTTCTTTATCTAAGCCCTTAAAAAATGTAGGTTCTTCGGGGTTAAGGTAAGGTTTAGGGGTTATAGGCTGTTGGGGTGTAGTTCCTTTTCTGGTTCAACCAATTCGATATAACATTTGGGATCCTATCTATAACGTAGACTTGCTTGTAGGGCCGAGACCAAGCCCTACAGACCCAGGGCTTGTAGGAGGCTTAGGGTCTTTTCCTAGGATACCCAGTAACCTAAGAATAAAAAGGCCTCTCTTTTTGGTATTGGGTAACTTTATAAGGAACCTAGGACTAAAAAAAGGGAATAAGGGTACTACTGGGCATCCTAGTTACGCTCCATCACTTCTACTCGGACGAACTAGACCCCAACAAGATTAACGGCCACCTTCTGACAGTAAGTATACTCTGCTGCTATGTAAAGGGTTTAGGGGTCGTCTACGTCCGAAGGTTGGGGGGGATTTCGACTTTTCAGTGTTTTAAGATTTTAGGTGATCCTTATGTCGAAGTTTTACAAGGGCTTTATAGACGGCAATAGGGTCTATGAGGGTATGCAAAGGTACAGCAAGTTGGAGCTCCAGAGCTTATTCCTTGAGGCTTTGGGGTTCGGGGTTATAGTATTTGGAGTGTCGGCTGTAGGGTCTTAGGATTAAGCTTTTAGAGTTCGTGGTGTTTGGAGGCTTTAAGTGTAGACGGTGTCCCAAAATCGCGGATCGTGTTGCTTTTGCTGCGTGTATACTGCTAGAACTGAAGCCGAGCCTGCAACAGATGAGAGCTGCAAAATCACTCTCCGAAGCTCATGATGTAGGGGCCCTAACAGTTAGAATAGGGTTTGGGCCCATTATACTATATTTACAATAACTATTAAGGAACCCCCTCCAATTAGTATAGGTAATTATTGAGGCTCCTATATTAAGCGACTCTCTTCTGCATGATTTCCTGGCTTCCCTACTTGTCGGGTATCATGGGGAACTAAAGGTTAACCTTTTGGGTTATATAAGGATCATATGGGGACTATTTAGAGGTTATATAGGGATTATATGGGGATGACAAAGGGACTATACTACCCAAAACAGGTTGAAGGTTGCCTACTCTACTACTAGTACTCTACTACTAGGCGTCAGGCCCAACGCTCCAAACCATGCTTGCTTGCACCAGGGAACGGCGCCACCAACGCTGCCGACGTTATCGCTACCTGGGCGATTCATAAAGCTTAATGGTGCCTAACAGGATCACAAAGCCAAGTCCAATCAACCCTATACGAGCCGTGTTCTTACAGACAGCTGGCATAGTTAAGCACACACACACACAAACACACACACACACACCCACGCTGACACAGAGGCAAATGTGCCACGCGCCATGCGAGTATACCCATGTACACCTATATGTACGTATGTACATGTATGCACATACTGATCTTTACAGTCACTTGTGCATGTGCAAACAAACCTTTGTGTGTGCAAGTGTAGATACAGTGGTCTAAGAACACATACATACAGGGCATGCTGTAGACCATAAACATTCAAACATTCAATGCACCTTTGCTCATCTATTTGGTGCAGTAGTCCATTGAACAGGTTACTTGACTCGTTGCTTGTACACATATGACATATACCTGGATATATATATATATATATATATACACATATGCTTATATGCAAAGATGTACCTATATGTATGTGTATGTGTATGTGTGTGTATATATATATAATGTGTGTGTATATACATCTATATATATATATATACACATACACACACACACACATAAATCCAAATGGTGCTCTCACACACATACATATGCATATGTAGATACCTAGTACCCATATACATACGGACATATCACAGGCTTATTCATTACTTAGTTAGTTAGGTAGGCAGTCGATCAGTTAGTCATATATTTAGTTAGCTATGTCTTCATAGGCATATACTAGATCCTTGCATATACATATTCAATCTCTCCTCCCAGTGGTAATCGGTCACCTAATAATAGCACACATTTTCGGGAAGCCGAGGAGCATATGGCCAGGAATGAAGACTAGTTTAACAGGGGCAAAAATAGGAGTTAGGATTAGGGCCATTAGGGGGACCCTTGGGGATAGAGACCCTCCAAACAAGGTCCCTTTCGAAGTAGGGTTGAGAAAGGTCCCCTTCAAGGGGTACCGTTACGGTGTCGCTCAAGGGTAGGGGTTTTGGGAACCTATATAATGGCTAAATGCTTAGCCTATATATTCACAGCATCCGAAATCCTAGCATTGCAAGAGCGAGTGTGGGCTAGAACGTGTGAGCTCAGTTCCTTTCCCACACGTTCCCTGGACGCTCCCCCCACCGCGCCTACCCCGAATAACAGCCAGTCAGCGAAGTTCGACAGAATGAACATGAATCCACATGAGTGCCTTTGCCCCATCAATGTCTGAACAACCCCATTCGGTCTGATTGAAAATGCACGAACTTCCAGATCAAGCATCCTAGTTTCCGAGTTCCCGAGCCACCCAACAACAAAAAAAATCTGGTCAACGCCCCAAACCCTGCACAATAAGACCACGAGGGCAACGCTTACCTACTCAGCTACTACTCCCTGGTTCTTCGCAGGTAATGCACTTACAGGTTCATGGGACTTAGTAGCTACGATGATAAATAAGGTGACTTTTCTTATAATTGGAAAATTATAACCCCAGTCAAGGCAAAAAATAACTGTACTTATTAAGTCCCATGAACCCCCAAGCACGAATGAATCCCCCATGATCGTTCCTAAAGGCCCCTTATAGTCCTACTTGTTGGGTATCATGCAGAACTAAAGGTTAACCTTTTGGTTACATAGAGATTATATAGGGGCTATACTACCCAAAAAAGGTTAAAGGGTACCTACTCTGCTACTAGGTAGTAATCCATACAACCCATTCCCAAATTCCATACGAAGAACTATCTTAAGCGCCCTCGGAACCATAATAGAAATCAAGTCTTGTAAAGCATCCCTTGGAGGTTTTTTTATAGCGAACATGAAACAGCAGTTCCCAGGAACACTAAACCCCCATCCCCTAAACCCCTAAACCCCTAACCCCTGAACACCAAAAAACAACCACAAAGGCGAAGGCATCAGTCAAGTCACTGTTGGGGACTCGCTGTCCCAGAGGCACAGGCCGGACCTGATCTTCGAACAAACTGGGTTGGGGTTCAGGGTTTTGGGTTAAGAGGTTGGGCTTCAGGCTTTTGGGTTAAGAGTTTAGGGTTCAGGGTTTAGGGCTTAGTGTTTAAGGGTTTAGGGTTCAGGGTTTACCTGGACCAAGGAACCTACCTTTTTAGGGCTCCCTATTTATATGATTCCTTTATATATGTCCCTAAGGAGGTATGTTATTTGGGGTTAAGGTAATCAGTCAGAAGGTTTACATAATATGCTGCAGGGGCAACTATACTGAACTTAGAACCCTAGCAAACATTATAATTTTAGCTGTTTCTTAGGGATCATAATAACCAAAAATGAAAATAATTTCTAAGTACACCTAAGTTTACATATGCTGCAGGGGCAGTTGCTTCATCCGGGGATCCTGACGTCGCCACGTGTAAGCGCCCGTCCTCTGTGAAACTGGACCCGGCCTGCACCGCTTTCCCAAAGGGTCCTATATGGGAGTTTCCGAAACTAGTGGGGTACCTTATTTCGGGGTCCTTATAATTCGGATCCTACTATTTGGGGTTCTAGATCAAAGGGTCTCATGTACTGTTATTTAGGGTTTACTGAATTAGGGTTTAGGGGTTTAGGGTTAAGGGGATTAGGGTCTAGTGTTTAGGGGTTTAGGGTTTGGGCATTTAGGGTTTGGGGTTCTATGTACTGCTATGGGGAATACTTCAATAAGTCATAATAGTAATTCCTAATATGGAAACCCCACATTCTACTATTTCGGTACATAGGACCCTTTGGGTTTGATTGTAGGGTTTAGGGTTCAGGGTTGATTCTACTGGGCTTCTGTATAAAAAATCTATAACTTTTTGCTGGCCCGTTGAGGTACGGTCTAGGGCTTTTAGGGTTTATTCCAGTCTACTTGTTTTTTTCAGCAAAAGCTTGCCCGCAGTTCTGCGATGTCTGGGCTCTGAAAGGACAGGCAAGTTTATGTGGTGTTCTACTCTGTGTTCCTTGCATCTTGTTATGGTGCACAGAAGGAGGCTGCAAAAGGAAGCCCTCAAAGTAGTCTCGCAGAACGCAGCGCAGCACGAGAAGAGACAGAGGGGGCAGTTTTTCCACGAATGCCTACACCCCAAAAACCGATCTTCGCTTCAGTCGTACATATTCTGGGCTTTTAAGTAACCAGAGAGAAAGAAGTATAAACTGTTATTTCATAAGGGTTCCTTGAAGAAAAAAGTACTAAAGCATGGTACTCCAAAGCCCAGAATTCTACAACAGTGGACGCGTCGGCACCGTTCGAAAATCTGCATCATGAACCTGTCCTCCTGATACCACGATGCTGTTGACTGTCCGACAGGCGTACTTGTCCAGTATCCCAAGAGGAACTTAAGTTCACCTTTGGGATTATATAGGAGTTGTTGTACCTGAGAAAGGTTGGAGGATACCTACTCTACTACAAAGCAGGTGCTGGCAGCAGCACTGAAGGCACCCAGCACCCACCCAGAAGCAGGACGCCAAAACTCGGAACGTGCAAACTCCGACAGTGTCTGCAGTTCACTGGTAATTAAAGCATCACATGGTTTGGGGGCCTAACGTTGGATGCACCCGAAGTTAACAACCGGATTTCTTCTGGAAAGAGCAAGGACCAGAACAACAATCATCATCAGCGCCACCAGCGGCTATCTCATTATCCTAATCTCACCCTCATCATAGGACTTACCATGACAATCATCGTCGACACATCAACGTCACCACCATCAGGATCATCATGTTCTTCACGTCAACACTATTGTCATTGGCAGCTCGCAAACCCGTACACCCTAAACCCCTGGAAAAAAATTAACCTCTAGACCCCTAAACCCCTAAACCCTAAGCCTCTAAACCCCAAACACCCAACTCCGAAAACCTCTGAACCCCAAGATATAGTAACCCTTATGGGACCTCCTTGAAACCCCTTGAACTAAGCCTAAGCCAGCCTCACCATCGCCTTCCGAAGCGGCCCCGCCCAGCAGAGCTAGTCCGGACTCTGGCGCCTTTCTCAAAGGGTCTAATATGGGAGTTCCCGAAAATAGGGGACCCTGATATAGAACCCCAAATAGTAGGATCCTTATTATAAGGACCCCAAAATAAGGTAGCCCCCGAGTTTCGGAAACTCCCATATAGTGGCCTTGAGAATTAGCGCCGGTTCCTTTGAAGGGGTCTATACGGGTTACTATAAGGGTTCCCATAAGGATTACTATAGCGTTCATGGCTTTGGGTTTAGGGATTAGCTTTGTAGAATATAGGGGCCTTAATAATTCGAATTATTTAGGGTCCTATGTTAGGGTCCCAATCTTCGGAAACTCCCCTATACTGCTAAGTACTCATGGCGAAAGGATGACGACATTGATGAACTGAAGAAGAAGATTATGGCGCTGGTAATGAGGATGATGATGTGCAGGGTGACGATGATGATAGCAAGGGTCCCCCCAAGCGCTGTTCACTGCTGCATGCAGATATGCTAAAGGACCGTACGATTACGGACAATGCGACGACACCGACGACGAGTACAACGACGAGGACGACGATCGCACCCTTTAGCTTCTATTGTACCAGCGGTACCGTTCCTGGTCATAACCAAGCAGCCCATTAGTCTTCTTGTTGCATGGTGCTGTAGAATAATTCCATCCCTGCGTTTGCAGTTTTTAAACAAACTCTTTCGAATCCTACACCAGGTACCCAGAGACTCCCTATGCTTAAAACAATGGTAGCATCCCTAGCATAAGTGAAGGTATCTCCCCTAGTTCAAAGATATTGGAGTCTCTGGGTAGGGCTTGGGTTCGATCGTACTTAAATAGCATCCTTACCATAAGTGAAGGTATCTCCCCTAATTCAAAGATATTGGAGTCTCTGGGTAGGGCTTGGGTTCGATCGTACTTAAAGGTACATGGGACGTAGTAACTATGGTTATAAATAAGGTAACTATACTTATAATTACATATCAACCCAGTTAGGGTACTCATAACCCTACTTACTAAGTCCCATGATCCTCCAAGTAGTGCCATGCAGAGCCGACCTCAGGCCCAGCCGCGACAAGCATAAGAGGACACCACCTGCACACGTCTGCGGGGTGGAGATCCTTAACCCTAAACCCTAAATCCTAAACCCCTGGACTCTAAACCTTAAACTCCTGAACCCTAAACCCCTGAACTCTAAACCCCTAAACTAAACTCTAAGCCCTAAACCCTGAACTCTACACCCTAATTCTAGAAACCCTACGAAAAGTGGGCTCTCTGGTACCCTTATAGTAAGTATATGTAGTAATCCTTATAGTACCCTTGTCAAGGAACCCTTTATAGTGAACCCCAGAAAGTTGGAACATGGATTTCGGATGATTAGTGCTAGGATTCCCTCTACTTTACCTTAAGGGAATGAGGATAACGATGTTCCAACTTTCTGGCTTCTACTATAGGCCATTTAAGGTGCTGGTAGCTATCGGGGTTTAGGATTTAGGGCCAGGCTTCCACGCTTGTACTTGTCGTGTTCCTAGGGCCCTAAACTGGACCAGAAGCCCAAGATCAGGCCCCGACCCTCAGTCCTCAACTCTAAACCCTCAACCCCCAAACCCTGAACTCTACACCCTAATCCCTAAATGCCCTACGCAATCCCTTAAATTAATCTCTTTAACAAATCACAAACCCTACACCCCTAAACTCTGAACTCTAAACTACGCACATGGGTTCTCTGTCTGTTGGGCCTCATCGTCCGGTCTTCTCCGGATGGTGCCATGGCAAGGACAGAGTCGACTCAAGCAGGTGGAGGGCAAATCTTGCCTTAGTTAGTAGGGAATGGACGAATGGTAGTAATAGTAGTTATAATTGTACCCCATTTCTCCATTCCCTAAAAACCAAAGGTAAGAAACATCGATGGTAGAGTGTAGTTATGCTAAGAACCTACAAACGGTACCGTTTAGTTTAGGGTTTAGGGTTAAGGGTTTAGGGGTTGGATTTAGGGTATTACGGTTGGGGGCGCTTTGGGTTTTCTTTTTCAGGTTTCTCCACCGTGTTTCGGGTTTCTTTCAGGTCGAAGGGGTCTGTACGCGCGGCAAAGGGTCGTATAGCGTTGATTCGGGATAGATGCAGGGCTCGCTTGGTTCTAGCAGATGACATATTAAAGTAAAAGCCAGAAAGTTGGAATATGGTTTCAGGGCGGGATACCCTATCATTTACCATACAGGGCTTAGGATAATCATATTCCAACTTTCTGGCTTTTGCCTTAGTGCAGTGGGGAGCGTTTTTGTTGCTGCGTTTTTGGGGTGCGGTCCGGTGGCAACTACTCCGAATCTCGGATGAGGCCTGCCGGGGGTGAACAGACTGAGGTCTTGCGATGAAAAAGACTGTTTAGCATGTGGGTGGTTGTCAAAATTAGGGTCCCTTTTTTGGGTCCCTAATATAGTACGGCACCTAATATTTAGGGTACCCTAAATATTAGGTGCCGTCTTATATTCAGGACCCAAAAAGGGGACCCTAATTTTGACAACCACCCATGTGCAAGCGGAGGGTGCAACTGGGACTTCACGGTCGCTGTTCCCAAAGGGTCCTATGTACCGATATAGTAGACTAGACCTAAGAGTAGCCTAACAATAAAAAGGGTGCCATTTTTGGTTTAAAGGGTGTTATAAGGGAACCGAAACCCTCAAAAAGGGAATAAGGACCTACTCTGGGTCCTAGTAGAATGTAGGCTTTCCGTATTAGGAATTACTATTATGACTTAGGGAAGTATTCCCCATAACAGTAGATAGGACCCTTTGGGGTTGTACAGTCTGCTTGCAACACAAGTTGACACGAACCTGAACAAAGAGATCGCAATACCGCTGAATTAAGGAATATACCTTAAGTTATAGAGGCCTTAATACTACGACTTAAGGCATATATTCCCTAATTCAGGAGTCTTGGTGTCTCTGAGAACCTACAGTAGAAGCCAGAAAGCTGGAATATCATCATCCTAATACCCCTTTTTATGTAAATTATAGGGTCTCCTACCATGAAACCATGATCCAACTTTCTGGAGTTGCCTATAGGTGTACAGTTTTGGATCCCAGCGGTCACCACCTGGATTTGCAGGTGAAACAGTCCGAGAGCTTCTCGACAAACAATTGCAAAAGACGGAAGTGCACGCCACTTCCGCAAGGGTCAGCCAGCATCAGGCCAACTGGCCTTCCTTACTTGGAGGGTCGGGGGACTTAGTAACTGGTTATTTTAGGGACTTATAAGTACCATAACCACAACTAGGGTCCCTTGTAGGGTACTTGTAAGTCTACTTATCAACTACTTACTAAGTCCTCCGACCCCCCCAGTAGGTCACAACCATTGCTAGACTTTTCTCTCAGGACAATGCTGCAGCAACCCTAAACCTTCCACCTGATACCCTACCGTTGCTTGCACTCTCAAAGAACCGCGAATGCCAACACCCGCTTCCCACATGCTACGTAGCCCTATGAAACCACTATAAAACTCTGCAACAGAAGGTTCAACCAACACAAGCCTTTGTTGGATCTCTTTCCCCATCAAAAACGAACCCCAGAACACCAACTAAAACAAAAAAAATACTCAACCAACACCCTGAACCTCCGAAACACCGCACAAAGAAACGACATCACAAAAACACACACCCAAACAAAGACGCGTACTCTAGGGGCCTTGATAACTAGAATAGGGTCTTGGGGGCCATTATACCATAGTTATAATAAGGAACCCCTGCAACGGCAATGGTAATTATTAAGCCCCCCATATTAACCTATGCCTAGACCTACTAAACCCTACTTTTTGGTAGGTTCTTATTATAAACCTTAATACGGAATTTATAGGGACCCTACAAAAAAGTAGGGTTCTGGTAGGTTATGGTAGTATCTACCCGAAGACCTGGTTGGTCATGAGAGGACCTCCCCAGTCTAGGGCACCCCAAACAGCACATAAGCCAAAAATTAGCATAGGGATATCCCATATCAACCCCCTTATAATGAAGCCCAAGAAGGCAGGGATATCCCCATATCAACCCCCTTATAATGAAGCCCAATAAGGTAGGGATATCCCTATTAAAATGCTTATGCTTATGTGCTTTTGGGGTCTTTAGGGGATTCCATTATCCCTTATTTAGGGAATACCTAGGGTTCGCGTTCGGGGATCTATAGGGTTCCGTCAAGGGATCTATCGGGTTCCTTTAAGGGCTTATGTGCTTTTTGGGTCCCTAACAGTCGATGCTTTGGAGCCAAAGAGCTTCCCAGCAGCGGCTTCTGCGCACGGTGTACTTAAAGGATCATGGGACCTAGTAACTAGGGCTATAATTAGGGTAACTATACTTGGAGTAGGGTTTTGCTTAAAGGGGTTATGTACAATGTAGGGACTATACTTGGAGGATCATGGGACTTAGTAAGTAGGGTTATAAGTACCTTAATTGGGGTTATAAGTAATTATGATTGTAGTTACCTTATTACTCTACTACTAGGTATGTATCCGTCGTCCGTCCCTACTTAAAGGCTCATGGGACTTAGTAAGTACGGTTATAAAGAAGGTAACTATACTTATACTTGGATATAACCCCAGCTAGGGTACTTATAACTGTACTTACCAAGTCCCATGGACCCCCAAGTAGGGTTTGGGTCTGCAGCAGCCTCTTTGGGGTTGAGGAATTGCAGGGCTGAGGGCTCAGGCGGTTTTGTTGCCTTCAGATTTTGGGGATGTCTGGGCCTGTGAGCTACGTACCTCATAAAGACATCCTGCATTGGGCCTTCCTTTAATATCTGACCTTTCGCGCAGAAGCCGCCAAGCATCAAACCAGCTTTCCGCCGGTGATCGCTAACTGTGAGACAGCACAAAGGTGCAGCCTTAAAAGATCCGGCGCCAGAGGTGTCCTATCTGTTGAGACGCTGAAGGCTTGCAGGCTCAATGACGATTCAGAGTTGATGGACAACCAAGGGTTCAGTGTTTGTCGATCTATCTGCCGTGCAGGGTGCATACTGTTGTTGCTAAGCCTCCCCCTAAATCCCCAATATCAGGACTACACAAGCTACAACATAATTGAGGGTGCTGAGCATTGGAACAGGGCTTTGGGTGACATTCTACGGTACTTAGAATAAACAACGCTCAGGAATGGTATTACCAATGAGTGAGGCCCCCATAGTAGCCTGAATAAGCTGAATACCCCCAACCCCCCCTACCTTCTTTTGGGCCTCCATTGTAGTTGCTTGTAGATAATTTGGAACCTTATTATGAGGACGGTTAATAATGGACCACGTTCGGGCAGTTCCTTAGGAGTGGAAGGACACCCATGGCGCTGGACATACTCAACATCGTTAACTCTCAGCTTGGACGTCCTCGCCGTCGATATGTCCTGAGCTAGGCCAAACAAGCTTGCCTTCGGACGCCTGCATCACAGAGCTGCAGTGCTGGTCCCAAGACAAGATATATCAGCTGCTTCAGCTGTGAGACCAAAACTACTATACGTCATCAGTCCAAGTTCAACCTACGAGTCTGAGTTATTGTCCTTGCCACAGCATCCAGTTGGACAGTGAGTTCTTGAGCTGGCCCCCCCCCCCCCCCCCCCCCCCCCGAATTAGTAAGGGCCTCTCTACACATCTGCCGCATGCTTTTATCGCCTTTCGCACAACTAAGCAGCATGGCGCTGTGTACTGTAGGGGCCCTAATAATTAGAATCGGGTTTTGGGGCCCATTATACTATAATTATAAAAAGGAACCCCCAAAATAGGATAGGTAATTATTCAGGCCCCTATAGTAGACCGTGGTGACAGCAGGTACAAGGAATTCAAGGCCTTCCCTGAGTTCTGTGCGCTCCCACTCACCAGGAGAGAGGTTGGAGAGTGCCTGCCAGGTAGTAGGGTTCAGTGATGTTTAGTGGTTTAGGGTTTAGCGATTTGGGGGATTAGGGGGTTTGGAGCTTAGGGTTTTGGGGTTTAGGGTTTTTGGGCTTCGGGGCAGGGTCTGTCGATCGATTTCTCGAATGCGCGATCAAATCTGTGGGGCTCTCAGCTCAGAAGTACTCACATACTGCTATTCGGCTGCGAATACAGTGGGCCTGTACCATGTCAAGGCAAATCTTGTGCAGCTCAGGTGTACTATCCTTCATGACTAACTTCTCCCTGAAGGTTCCTGGGTAGCCCCTTCATAATAGGGGTACACTTTTTCCTACTATTCGGTTTTTATAAGGGACCCCAACATGAAAAGGGCAAAAGGGTACTACTCAGGAACCTAGTAGACCCTAAACCCCTATAGGTCCCTTATAGAACCCTTTAAGGACCCCTTACAGAGCCCTTTTAAGGATCCCTTATGGAACCCTTTTAAGGAAGCCTAGGGCACTACTCAGGAACCTGCCAGGAAAAAGACACCATGCACCGCCATGTCCGCCCCGTCCCAGAACATGTCTTCCGGCTTATATGTTTGGAGGATCATGGGACTTAGTAAGTACAGTTATAAGTACCCTAACTGGAGTTATATCTAATTCTAAGTACAGTTACCTTATTTATAACCATAGTTACTAAGTCCCTTGAACCTTTAAGTAGGGGCCTTAATAGATAGAAAAGGGTGCCTTCAAAGGGGGTCCTTTACCTTAGCAACTTGAATAGGGTTTTGGGGCCCATTACATTATACTTAGAATGAAGAGCCCTCAGAATAGCTTTTGTAATTATTTAGGCCCCTACAGTAAGTCCGGTAGTCCTCGGCATGTCAAAGCTAAGCTTTAGGATGATATAAGGATTCCACAACCCGAAAACGTAT